ACAGTTTGGAAGCGAGTGCCACGAAGTGGTTCCTTCATCTTAGGAATTAAGTCAAGTCACAAGGGCTTAGATCTGGGGAGTATGGTGAATGGTAAAGCACTTCCCAGCCCCATCGCTTGAACAAATCAGTCACAGCTTGCGCTGCATGTGGCCGAGCATTGTCATGCAAAAGGAGAGGAGTGTTCAGTAGAGAGTGTTGCCGTTTTTTTCTCAAAGCTGGTCGGAAATTTTGCTCCAAAAATGAGCAGTAATACTGTGCAGTGACGGTCTGCTGTGGGGGAACAGTATGCGTTAGAATGACACCATCACAGTCGTACACGAGAATCACCATAACTTTCACATTGCTGGGGTTCTGATGAAATTTCGAACGTTGTGGTGACCCGTGATGACGCCATTCGTTTGATTGGCGTTTCAGTTCTGGCTGGTACAATCGGGCCCAAGTCTCATCCAGCTTAATGGTATGACGTAAAAAAGCATCTCCTTCGCGCTCATAGCGTTCCAGGTGGGTTCGGGCAGCATCGTATCGTAGCCATTTCTGCATTTCCGTCAACTGATGTGGAACCCATCTTGAAGCAATTTTTCTCATGGACAGGCGTTCCTTCAGAATGTGCAGCACAGTCGTATGCGCTAATCCTGTTTGTCCGGCCAGCTGACGAATCATTTGGCAGCGATCACTGTCCATTAGTGCGGCAACAGCTTGCACGTCTGCATCGCTGACACTCGGACGACCTGGCCGCAGCATGTCTGCCACGTTTTGCCGTCCTTCATTGAATGCTTTCATCCATCTTGCTACGGTTCTGTAAGGCAATGCAGATTCCCCGCAAGCCACTTGAAGCCCTTGATGACACTGTCGTACTGTACGACCTCTGTCACATTCAATTTTTATCCAACATCGTTGTTCTTGTTTTTAAAACATCCTGACAACACTTACTTTAGACCACGAGCTGATACAAGGATTCGTTCTTTGCGTCACTCCACATGCGCGTGACGTAGGCAGGATGAGTCTTTTTGCTGAGAGGTAAGGTAGGTATGTAGTTTACGTGTGGTATACGCGATGTTCTTTGGTTTTGTTGCGTAGCGTTTTTTCAGCTGTGTTGCCACTATTAAAGTTCCAACCCTCGTATAAACTGTCTATATTCAACTTGCTTAGTTTTTGTACTTTATAAAATTGCTTACCGATTTCTACCATTTTGTTTCGCCTCTGATTGTACCAGAAGCTCTATTTATAATGGTATGGATACAAACTTACCACAGGTAGCTGTTTCAGTCCATATTCAGCTGACCTTATTGTGTTTATTAATGCACACTTTTTTGGGGGGGTAGTAGGATCTTGTAACTGAAAATAATTCATTGCTTGCTGTTCTATAGAAGACAAATCCCAAATCTGAATGTTTTTTTCTTCAGAGAGGAAAAATACACCAATAACAATTAATTTATATCCTTGCTCAAAAAAACAAAATGTGGCTTATTGAGAATCAATCAGGGGTACATCAAATGAAAGCTCAGATGTTATGCATATGTTGTTACACTGTGTTATCCATAACTGATGCAAAATTTTCTGTTTGGCGATAGTTGCATAATTCATGGAATAAAACGTAAATTCCAGAAAAATATAAAAGCTCAGATAAAAGCCGATAAATTTTGTAGGCCTTAAACATGAAAGTAAAATATCTGATTCAATTGTGAAATTATGCTAAATGCAAAAGTTGGCAGACATTTTGCCAGTAATTCTGAGAGAAGTTTAAATGAACAAATCATTATTTTAGATAATAAAGAGATGCAAATTATGAGTATAACATGTAAAAACCTTAAATCGCTTATAATAATTTTTCATGTTACATTGCCATCGTTTATCTATTTTCATCTGTTACATTATCATTGCTTATCTGTTAAGTTGCATAACATGGCATTTTGGAATCCCACACCTGTATCTTTGAAAGTACTCAATTTCATGCTGTCCCAAATGTTAATCATATTTCCAAAATATAAGGAAGAAATAAAACTTAATCCTTTTTTATAAAAAACCAGTTTATTGAGTACATTAAACTGAAACAAACTTCTTATGATTATGTTGTGACATTATGCGTATTCATTACTGGCACAATATCACACTGTTTGGTGGCAATGTAGACGTGTTAATAGTATAATGACTGTATATGTGAAAAGTATTTTAAAAAACTGTTATTTTATGTACAAGTTCATGGGAATCCAATTATTCCATCTCAGCATGATTTTTCAGCCCAGCACTAATTTTTCAATGAATCATTAAGTATTTTTTTATTTTATATCAGAAAATTGAAAAGTAATAATTAACAATTTGATGAAACTGAAAAAGAAGTATAATAAATAAATTGTTTCTCTAATGTTTATATATTTCAAAAACTGAAGAGTCTTGAAACATGCAATTTTGGAGAGCATACCTTTTAATGCTGCAGATCATTATGGATTTTATCTGAATTCAACAACTATTATTTTACTGTGTTTTTACCTTTCTAGTAAATAATACTTAAAAGCAAAAATTAAATAAATTTAGATGAAAACAAACTGTTAATGTAAAGTATCTGTAGGTAAAATGTGACAATATGTAATTGAAGAAACAAAATTTCTGCTTGCAAATTTAAGCAGTTATCATTTTCTCTTAAAAAAATTGTTAACAATTTTAATTCAGTTAAAAGTTTCCCAAAATTGATAATTTGATTTTTTTAAATGAAAATATTTTAAATGTTTGTATATGAAAAATCAGTTTGTTAAATTTCATTGAAAAATAAAGTAGAATGAAAAATAAACCCAAGTGAAAAAAACCCCATATAATGCAAAATAAAATGATGCTAAAATTTGGCATTATTGTTGCATTTAACCCTTTGACATTTTGGAAATGCCATTCAAAATTTTTAATATTTAAACTTTCATATGCTTTCAAAATTTTTTAATAAAAAATTTTAATTTTGGGGAAAAATTCTAATTTTAAAAATGTGTAAAAAATATTTATTTTAAAATGGTATGCAAATTTTCACAGGTTATAATTTAAAATTTTTCCAAAAAATTTATAAAAAATACAATTTTTTATAAATATTTTAAAAGTAAAACATTTTAAAAATAAATAAAAGAAATGCCTGAGTTTTTTTTAATGATTAAACCTAAATTTCAAATTATTTAAAAACAAAAAACACAGAAGTTTAATTAAAAAATGTGATCTTACCAAATATAATTAAGGTTATGGAGCTAAAATTCTAAGTGCTAATTTCAAGGCAAAAAAATGTTGCTGTGATTTTTTACAAATCTTGGCACCTTGGCATATGTACAGTTGATCTATGGAAAAAAATCGGCTTGCTATTTAAAAAAAACTGATTTTTTTTTTTTTTTTTTTTTTTGTTAAAATGTGTTTGTTGGAGAGGTGTTATATATTAATCTAATAAATATTCTAAGTCATACTTTCCAGGCATGAAAAATGTAATTTAAAGTTTGTCGATTTGCCAGCTAGAATAGAAAATATAGAACTGCGCCCCTTTTGACTTGCTATACCGTGATGACCCAAAGAAGTGACTTTTGTCCAGTTGTATTTATTGGACATTTGTCTTTAGAATGCAAACATTGTTATTCTCTTTCATTTGTGAAAAATATGACAAATGTTGTTGTATGGCAAAGTTAGAATTGAACACACCACCTGTATATCTGAAGCATTTGAATATCTGTTTCTAGACAATAGTTTAATCACTGTATAGTTTAGGTAAATGTTTGCATTTGCAGCTCTTCATTCTCTAAAGAAATCTCATTTAAAGGAATCGGCTATCAGCAGGAACATGGGAAACATGTCTGAGGGTTGGCACTCGTTAGCGAATAGGAGACAGAATCCATATTGATAAATCATGATTTCGGTTGAATCTTTCTGTGTTTTATCTTTTAAAAAGTTAATCAACTTCTCTTTGTATACTTAAAAGATGAAAAAGTTTAATTAATGAATCACTTTTGCATTCAGTGCTATAATATACTTCATAAAATGTACTGTGGGTGCTGCTTAATGTGATCATGTTTATCTATGGCTATTTTGATAACATTAAGCATCTAACATTAAGCATTAAGCATCTTCAAAACAGCAATGAATTTTAACTAATTTAATATAAATACAAGAAACATATACATAAGTACTTTCACAAAATTTTAATTAGGAAAATGCAAACATTTGTTTATGAACTGTTCATAATGTCATTAATACAATAGTTAATAACATTTCTCGAAATTATTTGACGAATGCTATACAAATGCTATGCTCCTAATCTTAATAATTGGAGAGTATCTCTCATGCACTGGAAGAGAGCATGCAAATGTGAGAGTTAAAATTAGGTAAAAAGGAAATTCGAGTGGAACATATATGTTTTAATTTTTTTAGCACGGGGGAGGGGGGGTTTTACACAGTTTGTTTTTGTTCCTGAAGAAGAACAACCCGTGCCTCTAATCCTCAAAATCAATAGAGTTATTCAAAATATAAACCAAACACTAAGCTTGCTGTTTTACCAACTTTTAAATAGTTGACTAAAATTGAAAACAAGCTGTTTAGTGACATACCTTACTTTTACAATCACCTGACTTCTAATTTTTGTAATCTATTTTGATTTCATTTGGTGACTTCATTAAAAAATATTATATAACATTAATATTTATAATAACATTAACTAATAGTTGATCACATTGAGTGATGTATTTTCCATGTTTTTATATACCAAAGGGCAGGACTTTGGCAATTCGATAATAATATCTGAATGATAGCATTAATTGCAGTTGCATTAAGTGGCGTCTAGAGTAGCTTCAAGTTGCTTTGAGTTTACAGTCAATTTAGTACAGTTACAGAGAACATGGAATTCTGTAGGAAGAATTACACTGTCATCTTTGCATAAAATACTTAAATCATGATAATGAAGTGTCTAATTGCAAGTTTTAATGGCTTTTTTAATATATATTTAACAAATAAGCATTAATGCTTTTGTTTTCCTTTCTCTGTATAGGGATGTTCTCAAGCCATGTGGCTCAGGTTACATTTTAGTTGATCCTGTTTTAACATATGGGCCAGAAAATGAAATTACCTCTTGACAGCATTTTGTGCATCACCTACTTAGCCAAAAGTTTAGGTCCTTTTGACGAATGGGAAGCACGTTTGCGAACAGCCAAAGAAATTGGCTACAATATGGTGCATATAACACCCATTCAAGAACTTGGGGGATCTCAGTCTTCATATTCATTAAGGAATCAGTTGGCTCTAAATCCTACATTTCATACGAAGAGTAAAAAGTGCACATTAGGAGACATTGGTGAATTTGTCGAAAAGATGAGAAGGGAATGGAAGGTAAAAAATTTACTTTACTTTGTTAATCTCTTAAACCATTTCAACAAAATATAGTGTATAATATATAAAAGTAATATGTTATGATGTAGCAACTTTTAAAAAAGTCTCAATCTATGCAGACTTCAAAATGAATTAAGAGATTTCATAATTAATTAGGAAGTCATGTTTTTTAATTTTCAAAACTAAGGGCTACTGGTTAAACTAAAAGCTACATATAATTATTTTTTATATATGTAATCCATTACTTAAGCACATAGAGTCTATAAACTAAACTGAATTTTTATAAAATGAAGTGTGATTATCCTTCATCTGATAAGTGCTGAACTTATTCAATCCTAAAAATTAGTTTTCAATGCAGGTTATTGAATTTATTAATGAAGTATTTTGAAGACTGAAAAATATTTAACTGTGAAAAACATGCTTGTAATTTTATATCTTCAGTTATAACTTTTGGGTACAATCAATTAAATTAATAAATTTTAAGATAATGTTTCCTCTTCCTGTTTTAAATGATCTGAAAAATTCTTTTTTTTTTTTTTTTTTTAAATTTAGTTGTTGCTTCTGTGATTCCACCATCATGGGATCTGACTGGCAATTTAAAGAGTTTAAATCAATGAAGGCAATAAATAAAATAATTTTTTAAGAAAACATGATGAGCTTAAAGATGTTATAACTATTTTATGCATCATTTCTTTTTTATTTGTAATTAGATTGTAAATTTTCTGTAATCAGATATCATATTTAAAATTTATTTTGTTCATAATTCTCTTTAGTGAATTTTTTTACTGTCACTATTTATTTTCACTATGAAGCTTAAGATGGGATATAAAACCTGTATTTAATATTTTGCCTATGTGATGAAGATTTTACCATAAATGTTGGTTCCGACATTTGCATCTATGCTTTGGTGTCATATTTATCTTGTGTTAATGAAGTCCAGCTAATGCAGTTAGAAATAAAAGAATATTTTCACAAAATTTATCAAACTTGAGGTGAAAATCATTTGCTTTTTAAAGCAGATTTGATTATATTAATCTTTTACTGAACTTATTTATCTTGTGTTAATGAAGTCCAACTGATGCAGTTAGAAATAAAAGAATATTTTCGCAAAATTTATCAAACTTGAGATGAAAATCAATTGCTTTTTAAAGCAGATTTGATTGCATTAATCTTTTAAAATTTAATTTGGTTATATATTTATATATTCAGAAAATATTCAGGAAATGTGCATTTTTATATGTATGGAATATTCCTATATCGGAATTATTTTAGACATGATCAGAATTGTCTAGGCAGCACTGTGCTAGAATTCAGTAGTTCCATTATTTCCTGATTGATATGAAAGCTATTAATATCTTAAAATCAACCCTGAATGCTACTACTCTGAGTTTCTCATGTATTAAAATTGTGTTCATAATATAACGAGACAAATTAATAATCATTAGAAAAGGGTAAATTAAAATTGATGAAATATGATATTAACAAGACTCGTATAGTCCTTAAGAGTCCTTAATTTTGACCAAATTCGGCAGGAGGTCTTTAATTTTAATCATCTGAAATTTCTGTTTTTTTTTATGATTGCCATATTGAATGCAAATTAGCATTTGGGGCAAATATTTTTGGTGATTCTTTTATAAATATAATTATCTTTTAAAAGAGTGAATAGGCTCATTGATTATAATTTGTTCCTATTTCTAATATAAATGGCGGAATACTCAAGTTTCTGAGCAAGAAGTGAAACATAAGCATTTCAAAATTATTTCATTTTTTCTAATGAAAAGCTCTTAAACAACTTTTTGCTTTTGGGAATGTGAATTTTTTATTAAGCGGTTCCAAATTTGGTGATTTTAAGATCACTTTCTATAGAAAATTTTTAATTCTGAAATCTGGGAATTTTCAACGATATTTAAAAAAAAAATATTATAACATTGATCAGTTTCATTAAAATAATGCTAATGTATTGAAATTGTATTCAGAAAATAACATTTATGTGAATCTTTTTTTTTTCTGCTGTCATAGATTGACATTACTTTCCATTTTGGCGACTTGTTATGCAATATTTTAAATCTGAAAAATTAACAAGGTAATAAATGCTTAAATTGCATTTTAGCACAATTTATGAAACAATTCTTAGTAAAAGCAATGTAATTAATTAAAAATACTCCCGTTTTAATTTTTTCACGGTAAGAGTTTTTCCCATGTAATTGTCTGAATATGCGTCAGTTTTTTCTATAAAATTAATTTGACACTTTTTTCCTCTGATTTTTTTTCATCATATTCCTGCCTTTCTGCTGTTACAGAATTGGTAGGGGTAAATTTTCTTTAGAATTTTAGACATTGCAACTTGGAAAGTTTTGAAGGATTTGAAGGCAAGATTTTATAGACCCACGGATCTAGAAGATTCCAGAAAAATTTCTTCATGGTGTTAAACGCGTAGTAGAGGTATTTTATGGAAAATGATGACCTTTTACTTTCTAGAGAATTTTCGGAAAAACAATGAAAACATAATATTTGAACGTTTTACTTCTGATACTAGAAGTCTTTTTCTTAAACATGTTTATCTTCCCTTTGTTTTCTCTATTTTCCACTAGACACAAGCATTTCAAATATCAAAAATGCTTCTAATTTATCACATAAACAGGCATTTACAGAAAGGAATTTTTCTATTAATAAAGAAATTGAAAACTGACAATTTAAAAGATTCATCTTATATGTATCAATGCATCATCAGTGGTGTAGCTAAGGTGGGGTAAGTGGTGACACCTGTCTCCCGGGTGCAGCATCCTTGGGGGTACCAAACTGATGTTACAAAATTTTAGAATGAAATGTTTTTCATTCTTGACATACAGAAGGGGGCACAAAATCTTCAACTTTCCCTGGGCGCTGAAAACCTTAGCTACGGCTCTGTGCATCATATACAGGGCTGATGCTATGCATTTTCCCATCTGATACAATATATGCGGATAAATTCTTTTGCCTAGTACCTTCTTAAATTCTAAAATTTTGCCATTTCTGGATTTTTTTTGCTCGGTGTGTCACTAAATTCTAAATATTCTGCTACACCAGCTCTGTAATTGACCCTTACCATATATCATTTCATATTTACTCTGAATGCCCATATTACTAAAGAAATAAAAACACCTTTTCCTATCCATTCTAAATGCATCTAGGTTTTTCGAATAAAAGAAAACTTTAATTAAATCCAAAAATTCTAAAATTAAGAGGAAACCTATTGAAAAAAGAAACTGAATACATAAAGAGAAAGAAAATTATTCTTCAAAGATATGTACAGTTATTATTATGTAAATTAAGCAGTTGTGTATAATTTCAGCCTTTGCTATAATCATCCCTTCCCGTTTCTTCACCAGAAGGAAAGTCATTTAGATAGTTTTTACACTAAGGTTTTGGAGTTGTAAGATAGAATTTGTTTCTGGCCTTCGCTTGCACACTGCATTAGTTCCTACTAGTGCTGGTAATTTGTAATTATTCATCTTTGCATTATCACTGCTGATATTTGAATTCGTTACGTGATAATTACGTTACGACGAGTTACGAGTTTTTGTTACGATGTATTACCGAGCCAGCTTAGATTAAAATTAAATTGTGTAGTCTTTGACTACTAGTCCACATTTTTAGTTTTAATTTGACTGTTCCTGTGTAATTAGATCACCATAGGCTGTAGTTGATTTTTCTAGCATAAGAACATGCCGTTATGTTCTATGGGTTTTTTTTTTTTTTTTTTTTTTTTTTTTTTTTTAATAAAAGAAGTTTATTTAAACCTTTATCTGACTTTCAGACATAACGATAATTTGCTTCACATCTGTGAAGGGTTTTGGACTATTTAGCTTGTATCAGATAAAAAAAAAAAAAAAAAAACCCTCATAGGTACATAGTCGAGAGATTGACAAGTTAGGAGATAAAACACGCAGGAAATTGGTAGGAATATTGGCTTGCATATTGAAATAAATTTCTTATTGTTAGAAAAGATGCCTAAAGAGAAGGAAATTGATATAAATTAGCCAGAATGTCTGGAAAGGCTTCATATTAAAAAGGTGCACAAATATCATTTAAGAATTATGAATTTAAGAATTAGGTCATAAATTACATATATTTTAAACTGTGACATGTTAATAGATTGTGATTTTTACTGTGCTTTTTTAACAAATATTTTTACCCCAGGAACTCTACACGAAGTTATAACACTAACTGCATCAGACAGCCAGAGCACAATTAACTTTCAAAACTTGCCAACCATGCCTGCATCATCATGCCTTTCATGTTTGTTCTGATCAGCAGGCCTCTTGCTAGGCAAGCAGCAACAGTCAGTCTTCTATAATGAATCATGCTGATTATGATTTTACTTCTGATTTTAACCTATGCTATTTGACATAAAATCTACCTGCTATTTACTAAACCTCTAAACTGCGCAACTACGTGACAAAATGAGACATAAAAGAAAAAATCAACATAAAGCTAACTGTTTAGTAAAACGTAAATAAAATGTCACTAATCTTCTTTAAAATGTGTCCAATTATTTTAGTTTAAATATCACGCTGAATAACAATCAAAAACTAAGCCCAACATTAAGGCTAAAAGTAAAAAAAAATTTTTTAAATTTTAAAATTTGCGCTGATTCGTAATGTTGGACTTTGTTTTTGATGTCCAACTATGTCCAGCTATTATAAGGGTAAAATATTTAATGCTACCTGATAAATTATATAAAGTTGGTTTTATTCTCAAATTTATTTTATAATTATGTTTAATAAGAATGCATTCTACTTGTGGGTCTATTTTATTCTTAGTATACTCTTACAAAAGGGAAGTTCAGGCTTAACTAATATCTTTAATTGAATTTATTCTGTTTCCCTTTGTTGATAAATCCTTGATTTTTTTCATTAATGGTCCTTAAAAGTACTTAACTTCCATGTGCAGAAATGTGTACAAACCCTTTATTAAGCTATAAAATTTCCTCATCTTTTTATGTAATAGTTTTCTTGCATTTTTAGGTTTTATCTATAACTGACATAGTTTTAAATCACACTGCAAATGAAAGTGAATGGCTCGAAGAACATCCCGAATCAACATATAATTTAATTAATTCACCTCATTTGAAGCCTGCATATTTATTGGATAGGGCAATATGGTACTTTTCTCTAGAAATAGCAGAAGCAAAGTGGTCTTCAAGTGGAATCCCACCAGCTGTGAATAATGAAGAACATATAAATGTAAGTTCCTGTTCTTAAGATAATTTTAGTTAGATTATTCATGTTCCTTAATGTAATTTCAGTTGAAATAAATTAATTGATTACATTATGTGAAAACTGAGATAAAAATGTCAGATTCATTATTATCTTGAAATTCGTTTGCAGTTAATTGATTACATTATGTGAAAACTGAGATAAAAATGTCAGATTCATTATTATCTTGAAATTCGTTTGCAGTGAACTTGAAATCATTGACAATTCTTGATGTTGATAGGTATTACAAATCTGAGTTTGAAGAAAGTTGAAATTGGGGAAAATTACCTTGATACAACATACCTTGATACATATGGCTATAAATCCTTTTCAGCATCTTTTCCCCCCTCTTTATTCTGGCTATGCATGGGAAATGAAATGAAAAAACCTGTTAATATCGCATGCCAGTAGTGAAGGGTTCCTTACTAATTCATACATAACAACATAAGTTTCATTAAACCTGCCACATCATGAGCTTCCTTGTGTTGTTAGCTTATAATTTAATCATGTATATTTATTATTTTGTCATATTTATCACATGGTAAAAAGTAAAACATTATTAAGGTAAAAAAAAACACACCGAGCAAATATTAATTTAGAAGTCAAACAAAAAATAAAATGTTAAGGAAATTATGTTTTAGTTTTTGTTTCATGAATAGTTTTTGCCAGTAGCTTATCTCCTGCCCAGCCATTTTCTCGTTCATTTGCACTTCAACAGCTGAAGCTGATGGTTCGGTAAAACCATTGAAACTAGTAATGTGAAAATTTGTAAATATATCGCTGATTTTTGTTGTTTGACTTCTAAATTAATGAAACATTATTCTTCATTAATAGTAGTGTAGCAATTTTTATAATCAATTAACTTGTATGCTATCGTAAAAATCATTCATTTGCTAGTGGACTCAGTTTATGTTTGTATGATATACAATTGCTCTCATGTAATTTACTTTGCTTTTCCTCAAAGAAATAAAGCATGGTTTACAATCATTCCTTTCTCTATGTTGAAAACAAATAAGAATTTTCTCTTCTATTAAAATCATGGGTATAATTTCACATCAATTATGCCATCAAGCTGTTGCAAGTAAAACAACAAACTCAAGAATGCTCGGAAAGAGACACAGACAAAGGAAGGCAGCAAATGTATTTAATCGAAACTATCATTGCAGACACAAAAGTTACATAGCAAGTCACCTAAGCTATTTGAGTAGTCTAAATCAGCGTTTCTTAAACTGTGGGTTGCGGGATCTTTAGCAGGAGGTCGGCAAAAATGTTAGCAGTTTTGATACTTCTGTAACGTATTATAATAATTTTACAATTACCAAATATTTTTACACAATGTATCTGAAAATAGACAAGGATATGACAATACAGAGAAAGAAAAAACGAAAATGTTTGTACGCATTCTTTTTATAATATAAATGTTCATTTGCACATGACGCTCTTATTTCATCTGTTACTAATTTAAAATTTTCACATTGTTCTATGTCTTAAAATTAGAAATTAAAGTTAATGACCTAAAACTGCAATAGTATATTACAGTACAAGTGAAAAAAATTGAGTTTCACTTGTTAGTGTGTCGGATATGCGCAATATTTATTGGGTCCCACAAAATTTTTGTAAATATTAAGAGGTCCTGGGGGTTGCGAAATAATCTTAAAGATTACGACTGAAAAAATTTAAGAAACCCTAATCTAAATAATACCAATATCTAGAATTCATGTTCTTTCTATATTGCGCTTAATATTTTCATTCAAATGTAATACTATAAAACGATTTGAATAAAACTTCTTTCACTAAATATTTCTATAATTCTCTGATATTATCCTTAATCCATTAGCTGATTATTATGTAAATGGTTAAAGTCATGGAAAGTAGGTAGTTTTGAGTTTTTCATGTAGTGACTAAATGTATACTGAGATTCAATTCTGATGAAGAAATCATCCATAACGGCTTTCTTTTCTGGCAAGGTCACCCTAGAGATATATATAACATTAATTACAAAAGGATTTATTGAATTTGTATATTTTAAAAAATTTTTGAGGAATATTGCTATGTTTCTAAAGTCTATAAATTTCCAAAATCTGTTTGGATTTTGAAGAATTACTGTGCAATATTTTTTTTTTTTCATATTAAAATCAGAGTATATGTGCAACTAAATGAATTTGCAATTGGCAGCTGAAATATTCACACTTATATTCACTATTCTAAGATATGGCAGTTTGTTCTAGAAAACCATTAGAAATTATATTATGAAAGTAAATTTTTATCATTTTTTATCTTTATTTTAAAATGCACTTTTAGGAGATTTAGAATATTAATCTTCTTAGGAGGCATTTTGAATTTTAATCACCTTTCCAAAAAGTAAAAAAGCGTTTATTTTATTATACTTTTGCAGAGCATTCAGAATATTATATACACACACATACATGCATATATTATATAGTATGGTATTTAAAAAAAACAGAATTATTCAAAATATTTTTGGGTTAATCTTTGGATTATGGCAACTTGTCGATTTTTTGGAACCAACCCTGCTACAGCAACCTGCTAGTTTTTGTTTGGACGCCATTTTGTTTTTCACGAAGTAAAGGCATTTTTTTTTTTACTCAGCATTTTTTTTTCAACAATCTGCTATCCAATTACGCTTATGCTAGAACTTTTATGGAACAAAAGTGCTTAATCATGATGAAGATTAGGTGCAAAATTGGGATAAAATGCAGAATCGCAAACAGCTTGCCGCGTTTTTAAGAATTGCACATATACGGTATCCATGTGCACGTCGACCTATTTTCACTTAAAAAAACATCCCAGAACTGCACAAAAATGGCATTGCGCACACTCTTGACTTTATCCATGTACACAAGTCCTAGCTAGTAACCTTTATCGCCTTACCAAAATGTCGCCAAACTACCTGTTACCATATTCCAAAGATTAGCCTATTTTTGTGCAATATGCTGCTGACAATTGGTCAGTGTAGACGAAAAGTAAGAAATTTAGAACCCATTTTACAGAAGGACCCCCCAAAACATGAAATTCATTCCCCATAAATTTCAAATTATCTTATAAATATACAAAATAAGAATTAAGGAAATGTGAAATTAAAACCTAAAATTTGTAAATATCTGAAAAAATATACCAAAACTAATACCAGAAAAATAAATCGATTAAATCTAATGTAATGCTATCAGCAGGAGGATACATCAGACTCAATTACAATCCCCTTCCACTTAAAAACCCCTGTGTTTCTGCATTCAAAATTAGCTGATGAACTATTCTAAAGTTTTTTTTAACTATAACAATTCATCCAAAAATATTTTGAAGTCTTCCTTGATACAGGTTTTAAATTCATGTTCTTTATTTATTTTTGTTATTTTTATTTCAATTTTAAATTCAGTGAAAAAGTCTAATTTTATTCTTTTTCTTGATTTTAAAGTGAATTTTTTCTTGTCTCAAAGAGGACTTCAAAATTTTCGGATGAACTGTTATAATTAAAAAACTTGAGAACAGTTCATCAGCTAACTTTGAATATAGACATGCAAAGTTTTTAAGGGAGTCTGATGTATCCTTTTCTTGATAATATTTCATCAGATTTAATCGAATTCCTCTTTCTTATTTATTTTTCTGGTATTGATTTGGGTGTATTTTTTCAGATATTTATAATATTTAGGTTTCAACTTCATTTCTTTAATTCTTATTTTGTATTTTTATGGGATATTTTGAAATTTATTGGTATTGAAATTCACTTTTTCTGGCTCTTTGTTTAAAATGGATACTACATTTCTTACTTTATATATATATATATATATATATATAATATATATATATATATATATCTAATCTAATTGAATTTAACAAATATTCTCTATTTTGTAAAATGCAAATTTAAAGTTAATTTTATATATATATATAATTTGAATTTAATAAACCATCCTCTATTCGTAAAAAGCAAATTTTAAAGCCAATTAAATTTTAAAGGCAAGAAAGAGTTTCTAAATTACTTTGGTTTTCTAAAAAATTTGGTTTTCTACTCTTAATTACTTTAATTATTCTAGTCTTTACTTACTAACTTCTCTAAATTCCTTTTGTTTAAATTTCTTATTAGTAATTCACAACATTTGGTTTTACTTTTGGTTTTGAATTTTCCTTTTGCCCTTGCCTACATGGATGATGAAACAAGAAATTAATAATTGATGAGTTAGTTTTGGAGGCAACTTTCCCTTGATAAGTCTGTCACCTGCCTGCTCAACAATTATTCACTTATACATTTTTATAAATTTTTAGGATTAAAAAATTTATTGGGAATTATATATTATACATTTATTATATTCATAGATTTTGATACTTGTACTTGATTTACATATGCTCTCATTTAAATGATATTGTAGATTAGTTCACAGCAATAATTAATCATTATTTGTAATTCAATTTCATTAAAAATTTAATTAACTTTAAATTTGCATTTTACGAATAGAGAATGTTTATTTAAATTTAATTTAACAATACTATATTCTTTTTGAAACAACATATATATAGGCTTTTATCAGTAATATATCATTTTGTTATTTGTTGATGGTAAAATTTGTGAATATTTTTAAGCTCTGAAAAATAATCTAGAAAATATTTTAAGTTGTACCTAATTCATGTTAATATTTTCCCCTTCATTTTAATATGTCCAAATAAGCAATATATAAAGCTGTTAACAAACTTGCATTTTTTAATGTGCTTTGTATTAAGAAAAACATTGATTCATACTTAATAGTATATTTTCAGGCTATTAAAGGTGCCTTGCAAGGTTACTTCAAACATCTTCTAAGGCTACACGAATTTTTTATGTTAGATGTTGATGAAATTGTGAATAAATTTTGGGAAATAGCTGGAGGTATTTTATTACTTTTCTTTATAAATTTTTATATAGTTTTATTTTCAGGTCAAATTCAAGCAATCTAAAAATTCTGTTTGCCTTTGGGGTGATTTGTTATTTTCTGTATAAACTTTGAGGAAGAGCATACAAAAGCAAGCCATATTTGCATATGAAAGTATGTCCACAAATATTAACCAGATATACCTGAAAATACAGTTTTACTTCACAGATTAACTAGTTTTGACCATCATATATAATACTAGTCCAAATGGCATGTTTGGTTTTCCAAATTCAGAGATGGTTGGATATACACATAGCTACTCCATATACACATATGGAGTAGCTAAGAGAAATGATAAACTGTGTTAAGTAATCATACATCAGTTTGATTGCCATCAATGTACAAAACTCCGGTTGCAGCATGTTATTTTGGTGTACCTAAGTTTGTTATATGATGCATATTCCATTAGTAAAGGTTCTATCTAGTTGTTGATTGACCATCAGTGATGGTCAGCCATTAGATCACTGGCATAGTTGATCATAAGTAGGCAATAAATGTAGATATTTTTTTTAAGTAAAACTAAAATGAATCTCACTGGTGCTTGTAGATGATCACTGGCATTAGCCATTATTTCAGCTGTGTGAGATAAAATATTTTTATTATTAAGAATATTTTGAACATCATAGTGCTAAGATAATTTCTTTACCTGTTTTTTGCTCTTATGAGAAATATTCACTTCTTTCATTGTTTAGTTTCTTATATATTTACAATAAAAGCCCAGCTATCCAGCATTCAACTACCTGGAAGCTCAAATAACTAGAGTGCAGGTTTCAGATTTTAAATTACATCCAAAGAGGCATTTTTTTTTTTTTTTTTTTTTTTTTTTTTTTTTTTTTTTAGATTTGTGTGTTACCTTTATTTATTAAATACCAAGTTCTTTTCACTTAAACCATAAAATTCATTTCAATAGCAATGTCGCAAAATAATTTAAAAATGAGTGTATCTTTAGAATTTCCAATGCACAGTTCCGCGCGCTGGAGATAAAAAGGTTCTCCCCGTTGAGTTTTGCCATTGCTCGCTTTGAAATCCTTGAGTTTGTTATTAAAAAATTTGGATAAGCTACATCCCTCCAGAAGGTTCTGTCTGGCCCACAGATAGAATTTTAATTTGCCGGTCAGAGGCAAATTAAAAGAAATATATATTTATATATTAGATATCCATTTCCTTTTCTACTTTGTTTAAATATAATTTTTTCTTCCCTTTTTTTTCAAAGGACTGATGATCTTTTTACTGTCTAATTTTGTTCTACAAAACATAAATCAATGGAAATAGCAAGCACAGACAACTTTCAATTGGTTATGTGTTAAAAGCAGAAGTTCTTTGTTAGTTATAGCTGTAGATTCGTGCCAACAAGCATTATCTCTTTCTTGGGGAGCAGACATATGGGAATCCAATATAGGTGAATTATACCTCACATGTGTGCAGACTGCTCATTTTAAGCTCCAGCCAGCATCTTTTTCTTTTGGCGAGAGTTCTAATATTATTGATTGCATACATATAGCATCATTGTGAATAGTCGTGAAATTATTAAAAGTATAATGTAGCTGGTGCTTGTTTGGGTTATTCATAAAATATTTCAACCCTAAAATGGCCACTAAAAAACACTAAGTTGATTCAGAGTGCCATGCGTTTAAAGATGACTGGACCTGGAAATATTTTTACTGTTGTAAAAGATAAACCAGTGAGTCTTATCTGCAATGAAAATGTAGCAGTGTTTAAAGAATATAACATTTCCGTCATTTCACATCTAAGCATAAGAATTCCAATTTTGAAGAAATGTCCGAGTATGAAAGAAAACAAAATGCAGAAAGTCTTTGTAAAAAATTATCAGGGTGACAAATCTTTTCCAGAAGGTAAACTGTATCCAAGAAGCAGCTACACATGCATGTTACATTGTAACATACAATATTGCTAAAAATAATAAAGCTCTCAGTGATGGGGAGTTCATTAAACAATGCATGCTCCAAGTTTGTGATGTTTTATGTCCAGACAAGAAAAATAATTTTGAGACTGTAAGCTTATCTCGAAAAATGGTGACTTCTAGAATCGAAGACATTGATAAAAATTTGACATCACAATTAGATTCAGAGATTGGCCAGTTTAAATTTTGCTCCATAGCTATGGATGAAAGCACTGATATATAAATGATACTGCTTGATAAATGATACTGGTGTGCATGCGTTCTTTAAGGGAACTACAATGGGATGTGATATTTTTCGTGAATTTCAGGAAGGGCCTTTAACTTGCCTGTAACAAATATATGTAATATTATGACTGATGGAGCACTAAATATGACAGGTAAAAAAATAAGAATTTCTTGGACTCTTTAATCAAAACTATCGTGGGAACAATGTTGGGAATATCGTGGGAACAAAACTTACAAATCCAACGACACTGAAAGCTGAATTTTCATTATTTGAGGCAACGAATAAATGAACAAAAAACTTAGATTTGTTATTTGATGCCCTGAAAACTATAAAACCAAGCTCAGTAGCTAGTGAACGATTGTTTTCAATTTCAGACAATATTGTGTCTAAAATAAGGACAAGACTTAGCCACCATTCAGTGGATATTTTATGTTTTTAAAATCCTCTTTTTTTAGGAGAAGTTAAAATTAGTGAAAATATGTTTAAATATTATTTGAAATTTTTGTTTGTGTTTTCGTTATTTGGTGTAAGTGATATGTATATGTAATTCTTCATTTTTTAAAATATCTTGACTTTGATATTGATTTTGTATATGTATATGTAATAATTAATTATTTTTTATATTTTGACTTTGATATTGATTTCGTTACTTTGTGTAAGTAATGTGTATATGTAATTCTTAATTTTTTTTTTAATATTTTGATTTTGATTTCTTTTTTTGTTATTTTATATAAATTAAATTAAATATTTTTCCTATTCTATTTTTTTGATAAAAATTCAAAAACTGGTTAAAACTGGTTTTTATGGAAATATTGAATTTGAAAACTGGCTTTTCAAAACCCTAAGTTATTGTATAAACTCTAATCTTCAAGGTTAAAATTGCTGCTACGAAATGTTCAGCCATTGTTGACATGTATGAATACCTGAATAATTTACACAAATTGCCTTGATGTTTGCTGTTATAGTAATTGGATTGTAACTGCAATTAAATTGAAAGAGCATATAATGCCTAATCTCTGAGTTTTTTCCTATTTACTGTAGTTCATTTCATAAAAGATGTTTAACAGTTTCTAACAAATCTCAACTAAAGGCACAATATTTAGTCACTTTAACAGTCAAACTGGAATGTTATCAATGTTACAGTGACTTTAAGAAGCATGCAAAAGCATGTATTTTCTAAAACTATTTAAGCCAATAAAATGGATATACGTTATATATTTGTCAATATTCTTTATCCAATTTAATGCAATTTTTAGTCAATTACAGATTGAGTGATTAAATTTGCTAGCTTTAATGATTAAGTGCAGCTGCTACTTTAAGATGGAAGTACCCAATTAATTTTCCACTTCACCATTTCCACTAAGACAGACTTATCGATTTGAAAAGGTGTCAGCAGAAGCTAATATATATTATGCAATTATTTGGGTATTTAAGATGGCCATTGGCCTTTTGATATTATATGAATTATTAAAATCATTCTAAGCTACTGACAAAATTTTTTAAATTGACGAGTCTACAGTTTTAAATGGTTGATATGCTAGTCCATTATTTTAATCTGCCACTGAAATTAAATATTTATTATTACTAATGAACAAATTCAGCAGACTTTTCAGAAAATTCAGTACTATTCTGTTATTAGGACAGGATTCAGAAATGTATGTATGTATGTTTTTATGTTTGCAATGTATATGTGTAAATATGAATGTATGTATGTACATATACACATACATACGCATGTGCATACATTTCTGAATCCTGTCCCGATAAAGAACTTTACCGAAAATTCTTGTCAATAATTGAAATTAATATTTTTAATGAATGAAATTTAGAAAAAGAATTATACATTTCTTAATAAAATTGTCATAATTTTAAGTTTCCATTACCTTTTTAAGTGAATATTGAATTTTAGAGCCAGATCGCTTATTGAAGAAACAGTCTGGTGAACTGAAAATAATACAAGATCCTGAATATAGGAGGTTCAAAAGTACCATTAATATGGATTTGGCACTAAGTATATATGCACCAAATAAGTAAGTTTATAGTATGTTGTTGAAGTTAATTAAGCCATAATTTAAGCAAGTTACTGATTGTACTATTGAAATGTTGATATTGTATTGATATAAAATATAACTTTTTTTTTTAATCTTTGCATAACAGTTCTCAATTTTAACTGTCTATGAAGTTTATTGTTGATTCAAAGTATATTTTTGTGGATAGTAGAAATTCTCAGAAAGTGAGAAAAAAATCGCCTATTAAAAATTCTATAAGAAATTTTGGAATCTTGCATTTGCATCAAATTATTTTATGGTACATTTAATAATATCCATTGTATATTTTGAATGGAATGCAGGCAAAATGCTAAAACTTTAGATTAATGTAGAATATTGAAATACATTTTGATATAGAGTAGACTGAATTTTTTATTAGCTAATGGACATAAATGTAATGAAAGGGAAAATGATTATTTAATTTTGAGTATATGCTTGCCTTTTAATGTGCAGAGTAGTTAATTTACTAAGATATATATTTGAAGTAGAATGTGGAAATTCATTTTCTCAAATTTTCAGGGATCAGTAGAATATTAATGGGGAAGTTAAAGCAACAAGCATCAGTGTAATACTCATAAATGTGGAGAATAACTTTTGTAGTTTTAAATACAGAACCTTCTTCTTCATCTGCAGAAGTGCGAATGACAAAAGAGAAGCCAGTGATAAGATATGGTAAGGTGATAAAAATGAGAGGAAGAAAGTCGGGCTACTTTCTTCCTGTCATTCTTTTCACTGGCTTCTCTTTCATCATTTGCATTTCTGCAGCTGAAGAAAAAGGTTCTATACTTAAATTTTCGAAACTAATCAGGCAAATTTATGAATATTGCTCTGATTCTTGTTGCTTTAACTCCTTCAATAATTATTATTTGGCATGTTATTTTAACACGTCTGTATAGTCTTATTCATAGTGTTTTAAATTGCATTATCAAGAACATTATTTATGCCTGTATTTGAGAAAATGTTTTAAAAGCATATAAACTAACAATATTTAAATTGTATTATCAACTATAGTATTTAAGCATCTGTTTTTGAAAAATCCTTTAGAAGATTATATGTACATTATTAGTTGAAAGTACAATGCCTGGCTAGTTTTTAAGGTAAATCATATATATTTATATATTTTGATTTTTTTTTTTTTGTTTGTTTAAGTTTTTAGTTTTAATGAAGTAATTATCTGCTTAGAAATTTATTGAGTGAAAGCATTTTTCCCCAAAGCAGTAGCTTTTATGTAATTATATTTTTTATTACTCTAACTTGTTAATTTTGTTGGACAAACCAGCAGGGGTTTTTATAAACTTACGTATTGGAAAAAGTTGACAATTTCAGTCACATTAATTTTTTTACTTGTAATATATACCAGATGTGGTTTATTGTTATTACAAAGATTGAGAATGGGCATAAACATGTAGAAGCCTTCAAAATCAAATAAAGGCATAAAAAAGTTTACATTAAATGTGTATAAGTGATTATTTGGTTCTCTTCAACTTAAAGTTTCTTTAGCATAAATTTTCCCCATGTGTGTTAAAGATGAAATAATTTAAAATATTTGAAAAGAAGATCTTGATTTTGTCAAATGGCCATTAGAATGAAAACAGAATGAACAATAATTAACCATTGGCTGCTTTAAGTTATAAACTCCCAGGTACCTGCAGATCCGTTGATATGCTAAAGCAGGGATCTCCAATTTGGCTGCAAAAAGATTTAAATAATTTTTTAAAATTTAAAATAAGCAAAGTAAACCTACACATTAATTATTTTATATAACAATACAATATAATTATTAATTATTTTATATACAATATAGGATCTATAAATACATTGCCTGTCATGCATATTTTTAATAAAGCATATTATAAACATCATACACTGTTTCTAAATTTACAATAAGTGAAATGCAGTTATAACCAATATGGCCTGTGAGTGAAAAAGTTTGGTGACCCCTCTGATAAAGCATCAGAGGAACTGTCTTTAAACGCAAGAAAAGTACACTTATATGAATCATGAGCATGAACTGTTCAGCTTTTAAGGTTTTTTTTATGAAACATTAAATGTCAAATTGATTTAAAACCTTGATTTCATTGTACCTGTAAAAAATTTTTATTAACAACATATTCCTGCATCTGTATGGATCATGTGCTGCTCATCCATGAAATTTCAAATTTCTAGTTCTCTTAGTTTCAAGAATTCTTCTCCCCTTTTTTTGATATTGCATTGGAATTGACAGTTTTGTACATATGATGTAGCTGAAAATACTAAAAGTATATTTTATTGAAGCTTGATTGTGAATTTATTCATTCAAATAAAGTTTGATTAAATTAACTGAGCTTGTATTGCAAGATATATGGCTTAGACTTTTTTTTTTTTTTGTTGTTGTTGTTGTTGTTGTTTCTGATTATCCAAATGAAAAGTACTCCCAAGACCATACGCTGTGTTGCCAAAATAGGCAAACCATGATGTTGCCACACTGTATTCATATGACCACCCATATATATACACAAGTATGTTGTAGATAAGAGCTAATTTCTGTCTTTTCTCATTATTTATTGTTTTTTTTTTTTTTTTTTTTTTTTTTTTTTTTTTTTTTAATTATTATTATTATTATTTGAGTGTCATTTTTCCCCCTTGTAAGGAATCATATTGGGACTGCAGAGTTTACCTGCTGATGAAAAGAAAGTGTTACATTTCTTCAGAAATCTGGCATTTTTTTCAGCAACAGAGAATGCAAAAATTTGCATACTATTAAGCTGTGCTTCTTAAGCTACTGAATTTTGTGGATGAAAATTTGTAAAAATGCCAAATTTGTGTAATTTTTTGAATGAAAGTAGATTTCTGTGTGCATGAGGAGAATAATAGTTTGCACAATGCCAAGTTGTGTATGGTTCTGGGTTTGTGCAATTCTTTGATATGTTTTTAAGCTAAAACAGATCACTGTACATATGATGATGACAGTGCCAAAAAAGAAAAAAAAAAAGTACTTTTTATGGATTTTTTTTTTTTTCATTTTTAGTTTTGTTAATTGTTACTGTTTTATGTAATTCTTAGTGTGCCACCATTTTAGAAAATGGCTGTTGTCTGCTGCATCTTAACTTTGCAAGTTTTCAGGAAGAGGTGTAAATAATCAAAAAGCAAAAACTACCTTTATATATATAAATTCCATACTGAAAATCAGCTTTATATTAGATTCTAAATGTAATGACAATCTAATTCTTTAATATTTTGGGGGGTTGCTTGATTTATCATATAAAAATGCCACAATTGAGGCAAGGTACAAATTTGTACATTATGAAAAGAGGAAATGCCTTTGGAGAGATACATTTTTATAATGATAAAATACAACTCACTAACTTTTAGAAATCTGCCATTTAAAAATATTAGGATGCATGCTTTGTAATATTAAGTTTTATTAAAGTTTTAATTACTGGCCCTTATCTTTCCATTATTTTTCTGCATTTTGTGATTTTGATAGGGTCAAAATTCTGAAAATTTAGTAAATTTCAAACTTCATTTATATTTGATATAAATTGAAAAAACTTATGTTAGTTCCATTTTTATATTTTGTCTTTAGTGTACACAGAAAGAGAATGCCATTATAACCATGTCAAGTAGCTTATATCTAAGTATGTGATTAATAAGTTAAAGCTAAACTTATTTTGCTTTATGCTTCAGTAAAAAGTACTTTATTAATTTCCTAATATACTAATTAGCTATCATTGTTCAGGGAAGGAGGCACATATTAGTATTATCATCATCTGAATTCATGACAGTCTATTTCCCATATATTTCTTGTCTATTTGAAAATAGGAACTTTATTGTATTAGTGTTGTAGATACCTTTGTTTTTTTCACAAATGTAAATAATTAGTGTGTGAATGCATATTTGCAATATAAAATGACATCAAGTTCCAAACATTTTTAGGATGATGAGTATTCCAGAAATCAACAAGAGCTGTGACAATCTTAGACATAAATTGGAAGAATTGAATAATGCAAAGAAAGGAGAAATTGATATGCATTTTTATGCTGCTGTTGAAAATATTCTTTCAGCTGTTCGCTATGAAAGACTGAACCCTTCTGGTCCAAAACTTAAAGCACTTTCTGCTCAACATCCGTTAGTGCCCCAGTAAGTAAAGTGTGTATAATATATAATAATAATATAAATAGTAAATATATATAATAACTCATAATATGCCTGCCTGCACATTTATTTTGTATAACCTGTTCATAAAGTATCATATCATTTATAATTATTTTACGTTTTTTCATAGTCCCCGCCCCCCGATTCATGGTGTTATTTTTTTTTTTTTTTTTTTTTAGGTATTTCAAAAATTATGGAATTGATACAAATATTCAAGAGGATGAAAAACTGATGTTCTCCCCTCAAGCCTGTTACATAATGGCTCATAATGGTTGGGTTATGGGTGACAATCCACTAAAAAATTTTGCTGAGCCTGGATCAAATGTTTATTTAAGACGTGAATTAGTAGCATGGGGTGATAGTGTTAAATTACGATATGGCAATAAACCAGAAGATTCACCATATCTTTGGAGCCATATGACAGAATATGTTCAACAATTATCTCGTGTATTCTATGGACTTCGACTTGATAATTGTCACAGCACACCTATACATGTTGCTGAGGTATGCTTATTTTGCTTTTTATGTGCATGTTTCCTTTATTCATCCATGCTTTTAAAACTTTATAATGGCAAAACTACAGTTTTATTACAACAAATTATATGTGCCCTTAAAAAATAAGGAAAATAATCGATTATTATGTGTACCATGATTTTTGTACCTTCATCAGCAGATAAAATTTAAAGGACTGGAAATTTGATTCATGACTTCTCTAAAAAATTCATTATTTTGCTGTAACATCAGCAGAGAATTGTGTACATAATTCTTCAGTACTAGTAAGCCTCTGATTCTATAAAAAATTGAATAAGCACGAAACTCTTGGCAGTATATGAATTGCTTGGAAATGAGATTGAGAGAATTAATAAATAGAAAATTAATCTAACTTTAAAGCTATATATACATTTTGAGATTTATATAAGATTTTACCTCAAGTCACTTTACCGATCTTAGTTACTAACCTTTGCAATAAGTAAAATAAAATTCTGGCTCAAATCATTTTCCATATCCTAGTTGCTAACCTTTCAGATAAGTAAAATCGAGGTGTGTGAGAATTTTGTCTCAGCTCAAATCCTGTACTCTATGCCTATAACTCTGGAATGTGTAAAAGCAGTGTATAGCTTAAAATTATTCGTATATTCTTTTAATTGAAATGACCAACCAGCATACATTATACATCCTGCTCCACAATCAACTCTTGTTTTCAGTCTCCAACCATCTGGCTCAAATATTTTTTTTTTTTTTTTTTTTTTTTTGATCTGTTAATATTATTAAGTGCATAGACAAAAACTACCATTTTTTTTACTACTTATTGATGTTAACTTGTGGAGCGCACAGAGAGAACTATTATTTGACTGCTCAATAATCTTTCTCAGGTTATTTTTTGGTTACTCTAATTTTAGAAAACATTTCTTTTAAATAGAAACGTTGTGTGCATGCCACATGCATTCTTTTCCCTTCACCCTTTTATTTTCCTTTGCCATTTTTTGTCTTTGCCTTTCTGAGGCATATTAATTAAGATACTAATGTCACTGCTAATACTGGAAGTAATTATTAAAGTAACAATAAATAATAACTAAAGTAAACAATAACTTCAAACTTCAGTAGTCAACTCATGCCTTAAAGCTCATTTATCTTATAATATCTTAAAACTAACATCAAAACAGTTGGCAGAATACAAACCATAAAATTAGATCATATTAATAAAGTATATAACATCCTATTGATTGTATTATCACAATCTTAAAATTTGCAATTTTAAATATATTAAAATAACATCTTGCTTGTTTTCCAAAGTAAAAATCTTAAAACTTAAGATTCCTGGTAAGACCCGCATAAGGCTAGAGGGCGCTGAGAGCAGCACCATTGAGTGTGTTCTGAGATTCAATGGAAGGTGTGATGTGAGATTCTGAGATTGAGATATTATTATATTTAATTAAATCAATTTATATTTTATTGATTGGTGATTATTGGTTTTTGACTTATTCATATTTGATGTGATATTATATTTTGCTGAACCACCACTGTTTAGAAACTTGGATTACCACTGAATCTTCAACCACCGATGCACAATGCCATTTTGAATTGTTTTACAAATCATTGTCATCCATAGCTTAAAACAAAGAATATTAAGCATTTTGATATTTTCCAGTGTTTTCAAGCACTGAGTTAGATTTTTGTGTGTTAACAGCTCGTATAAATTTTGGAAATAATCATTTCAGAAGAGCAAAAGAACTAACCAAAGATTTTCAATCTTTTTTACAACTCCAAGCAGTAACAATTTTTACAGGTTGTTCCATATGTCTTCATCAACTTACATCCCAAATATAAGTAGTTTAGTGAATATAGTACAAAGTCTGAGATCCGGATTTGTCCTGACTTCCAGATTTTTGTGATTTTTCTGGATATTAGATCATCAGTTTAAATCTACTAAGATGGCATATAGATATTATAAAATTAAAAATATGAAATTGTGATTTATGAAACAATGAAGCATTAATGATCTAAAGGGTATCAAAATTTACAAAAAAAAAAAAAAAAAAAAAAAAAAAAAAGGCTTGATATTTTTTTTTACTTTATTAAACATTTTCTTTGAATGTAAATTTTTTAACTTGCTTCATTTTTTGTGCTAATACTTTCTCTTCAATTCTACAGACAGACATAATTTCTTGTTCAATTACAAAGTTCCAGTGTTGAAGTCCTGTAGTTGCTAAGTCAATAATTCTGATTGACTTGTCAATCAATTTTTTTTTTTTTTTTTTTTTTTTTTTTTTTTTTTTTCAGTAACCTACCTGTCACTTTCTTCACTATTGAGATTGGTATTTTCTGGATTGAGAACCATACTACAGATTTCGTCCTCCGTTAATTGATTGATGATTGGAGCATTGTCATCACAATGAAAAACTTCTTTTATATCATCTTCATTTATTACCCCTTCTCCACATTTCTTTCCAAAATCCATTAATTGGAAAATTTCACCTTTGTTTTGCAATATCCGTAAACCTTTAAAATTAGCGGCTATCATCATCAAATTTAGTTATCCTTCACTATACATATTTAGCTACGCATCATGAGCTTGGCAAGTGACAATAAGTTGTTCCATTAAATTTTATCTTGCTTCTATCGCGCACTGAGAACAATTAAGCCTGAATTGCATTAATTTAGTTATTTATTATACTTATGTCTAGTTCTTGCACATGCTTGCTTATCAGAGTTCTGAATAAATAAATTCCCTTATATACTTAAGCCTTATTGAGGGCCGGCGCTAGATATTTTACCGCTTGATGCAGTCTCTGTGAGACATAAATTCTGTGACTTGGTGCAGCCATACGTGCCCTTGCGCTAGTTCTGGGTTTATGTGAATAACAAATCAGTTATTCTTAATTCAAATAGCCCTAAATGTAATCTTTGAGTCTATCAGTATCATCAACAAAATCTATTTTTAGCATATGGAAAGAAAGTTTTGGTAAATTTTTCCTTGTCAAAATTTTTTAGCGCATTTAACTTAAATCTGTAATCATCACCAAGCATAATGTCAACAAAAGTTATCATACTCCTTTATTATTCAATTACTAACATAAAAAAAAAAAAATTTTAGACATCGCTACATGAGTCATTACTCAAGTTGTCATGTTTTGATAAACATGCGGTGATGAAAGGAGAGTAGAATAATGATTCGCCAGGTTGGCATCAGATTAACGATGTATCTATGTGGAATGTTTCGGTTTGAGATGTGTGCCAAGCAGATATGCAGCAATGGAGCTAAATTACTGATTGTACAAATTTATGCTAAAATGATTGTTACCTCAAAAGCAAGGTATTTTATTTATTTATTTAGTGTTGACGTGAAATTAAGAATCGGGACTCTCCAGATGTTTTATTATGCACGGAGGGGAGAATCAAATGCACATGCATAAAGCCTATGAGAAAAGCGTTGTTGATGGTTTTGAAGTCTGGATTTTAGATTATCCCAGGTAATGGACGTCCGGATTTCAGACTCTGTACTGTATTTGAGTTGTAAATTGATTTTCACCACAAAATGTATATGTTACCTTCGCATTGTAGTGTGGTATTTAAAACGTTAAAGCTTATCTGTGCCCTGAATAAATAAATTCCCTTTTTATACTTAAGCTTACTGAGAGCTGGCTAATAACATTTAGAAATTCACTTTACCAATACTGAAAAATTGTGGACGAAAATATTGAGTTTTGAATTTAAATGTCATTAATCTTGTCTTATATATATGCAGCTTAAGTGTTTGTCGGCGATAGTTTATTGGTTGCTTGTATAACTGTAAATTGTTTTATTCCCTGTGCAGTGCAGCGCAGGACAAATATTATGAGAAAGCTAAGCCGAAAAAATTAAAAATACAAGAGCATGTGCATTTAACATTTAATAAATAAATTTAACATCTATATATAATAGAATTCAGAAATATGCAACCAGCAAAAACTGGCAACCATGAAAAAACGAATAAAATGAAATAAATAAATATCTTTATTATATGCGGCTAAGTGTCTGTTTGTCACCGATAGTTTATTGGTTGCTTGCGTAACTGTACTAGCCAATGGGGGGAAGTTGCCATGGCACATGGTCACCGTTTCAATTGAGACGTAGACAATTTCCTGTAAAACTCGCCTTTGCTATGACCATCAATAAGTCTCAGGGCCAAACGCTTAAGCGTGTTGGCATTTTTTTACCTGAGCCTGCATTTGGACATTGTCAACTTTATGTTGCCTGTTCAAGAGTTTGTGAAAGAACATACATAAAATTAAAAATAATTGATGGTCCTCTGCAAGGCAAGCTTAAAAATGATGGAAAGATCTAGACAAGAAATGTTGTGTGCAAAGAGATCTTTGACACGTGAATTACATTTTGTTATTTAAATCACCTTTCTATTTATTGAGCTAGTCGTGGCTCTTAAGAAATGTACCGCCAGTGGTTTCCTTCATTGCACTCTACTTTAAGGAATTAAGCAAGTAGAAGGGGGAAACACTGTGGGGCAGTAAGGGAAGGGCGTCCTTGCCGCCTGCCCTGGGTAATTCAGTTTGAATTAGCAAACACTTTGCACAAATCATTTTAATTACAATTTATAATATCTAGAACAGCGGTCATTTCGCATGGCCGCCGGGCTTTCTAGTTTTATAAAATTATATCAAAAAATTGTTTCCTGCCAATATTCCATTTATGGAACATACTATAAATCATTAAAAAATTTTAAAAATTGTTTTTTCTTTTTTCATAATTCTTATATTTGAGTTTTAAATTGATTTTTCACCACAAAATGTATATTTTACCTTCACATCATAATGTAGCATTAAAATGTTAAGGTTTATCTGAGTCCTGAATAAATAAATTCCCACATATACTTAAGCTTACTGAGGGCTGGCACTTGATATTTTGCCGCCTGATGCAATTTCTCCAGTCCTAAATTTTGCTACTACCCAAGTTCTGAATTTTCGCCACCTCTTAATTTGGGGCTTAATTAGCTTTCCCTAAATTCTAAAATATTTATCATCCCTTAATTTTGTAACTTGGTGCTTCTCTAAATTCCAAAAAAATTGTATTTCTTAATATCTGCTGCCCAGTGCAGCCATACGAGCTCTGGCATCAGTTCTGGGTTTATGTGGATAACAAATCAGTTATTCTTAATTCAAAAAGCACTAAATGTAATCTTTTGTCCTCTAAGTATCCTTAACAAAATCTTTTTTTAACATATGGAAAGAACATTTTGTTAAATTTTTCTTTATCAACATTTAGCACATTTAACTTAAATCTGTAATCATCACCAAACATAATGTCAACATAAAATGTTTCCATACTCTTTGTTATTCAAATACTAATATAGAAAAATTGTTTAGGCATCGCTGCATGTGTCATTCATTACTCAAGTTGCTGTGTGTTGATAAACATACGGTGATGAAAGCAAAATATAGTAGATTGATAATACAATAAATAAATAAAATATAGTAGATAATAATGATACGCCAGTTGTCCCTAGGAATAGAAAATATAAGTAAACTATCTTTCTATGTAAAATGTTTCGGTTTGAGATGTATGCCAAGCAGATACACAGCTATGGAGCTGAATTATTGATTACACAAATTTATGCTAAAATGATTGTTTCTTCTGTAACGTGGTGTTTTATTTAGTGTGAAGTGAAATTAACAATTGGGATTCTCCACATGTTTCCTTATGGGGAAAAAATCAATTGCACATGCATAAAGCGTAAAAAAAAACTTTCAAAAAACATTTTTTGTTTGTTGGTGGCTTTAGGGTTCGAATTTCAGATCATTCCAGATATTGGACATCCGGATCTTGGACTTTGTACTGCATAAAAAAATGGCAACACTTAACTTTCTCAAGATGTGAAAATTGATCAGCTAAGTACGACGACAACAAACACACTTTTTTCTCTTCTTCTTTGCTGATATTTAGATATTTATAGTAATGCAATATTATTAAATGTAAATGTAAGTACTTTACACCATACTTACTTTTATGTACCACAAGTGAATTTTTTTCATTTTGCATTAAAATTCTTTAAATGTTGATTTCATAAGCACTGTATTTCAGGAATAAAGTGCCATTCTGAAACCTAGTTTGATAATAATTGCTAAATGTATACAACATTTTTCTTAAATATTCATGTAAAATGCTGTCTTATTGTCTGGCTGTGTCTGTGTTGCAAGATATGAGTTTCCACCTAAATCATGTAATCATTTGGGCTTTTTTTTAAATTTTAATTTGATGTTCATGAAGTATAAAAACATAATAGTTGTAATGTGTTTAATTAATTCTGAAATTTCTTTTCAGTACCTCATTGATAAAGCTCGAGAAGTAAGATCAGATCTATTTGTTGTTGCCGAATTATTTACATCGAGTGAGGCAGTTGATAATATATTTGTAAATCAATTAGGCATCACAGCTCTAATACGTGGTATGATTCCAGTATTTATATTTTAAATTCATATACAATGCATCTACAAAGTTATAGGACTTTCTTTTTTTTAATGTAGGTTGCTGAATTCTAAGCTGCCATCGAGTAACTAGGGGCACTAATTATTGCTTAAATATTTCGACTTAGCTTTTTTAAAAATATTATGTGCTTTTAGGAAGTTTAAATAGAATTTTTTTTAATTTCATTTTTTGTCTGTTGATATCTGCTGTTCTGGATTTCAAAAGAAAAGAATAGAAGGAAAGAAAAAAAAAAAAAAAGATTCATTTGCACATAATTATCATCAAACAGTTAATTGGAAGGAAAATGACCAATCATCTCCTCCACCCACCAGTTTGATACATGCTGCAGACAACTGCTTTCTGTTTTCAGAAATGAAGCCACTCTAAAAAGCATCATTTGAAAGACATTTCTTAAATTTAGAAAGTCATAATGCAAAACTTCAGGAATATTTCAGTAGATGATGTCTGCAAAAGAATTTTAAGTTCTATCTTCAGAGAGTTGGAGAAATGTACTATATACTGAAAATTAAACGTAATTAAAGTTGTTTTCTTTAATTTATTATTTTTTTTCCTGAATTCAGTCCTAAATCTTTGTAAATGTATTTTCTTTTGTGTATAAGTAATATTAATAATTTCTCTGGAAATGCATAAATCTTGGTTGGAAATGAATTTTATCTGTTTAAATCAAGGGAATAAAAAAAAAATCTGCTACATATTTTTCATTTAACAAATATGCTGTATTTTCACTTTTTATAACTGTTTTCTTGTATTCTAAATTTTTTTGGTGATAATTTGTGAATGTACAGTGTTCGATGTTGAAAATGCAACACCAAGAAGGAGTGGTCAGAAATTTATGCAAATTTTAGAGTATAGACGAACGTCACTGAGTTATGCGAATGATGTAAAATGTACAGCTCACCAAGCTCTATAAGGGAAGGAACATGCAGAATGGGCAATATTCATGTCGTTATTTCTGCCAGAAGAATTATCGAAGAAAGTTGGTTTTTGTCCCGGAGGATACATGTAATAGGAGAGAATGCCAGGCCGCCATCAACGAACGCACTTCCAGCAGATAGACGATTTTACGAGGGGTATGGTGATCAGACCGAGAAGGTTGGGTTCGTCCTTACGTCAAATCGCAGCTGATATCCACATGGATGCGAGCACAGACTATGGCGAACATGTTTGGAACAAGGAAATGTGAGAAGAAGGAGGGGTGCAGGTACAGTTAGAGTGACGTCAGCATGCGTGGATCGACGCATCCGCCGACAAGCTGTGGCGGTCATGCAAGTCACTTGTACTGTGATTCTGTAGCATGTGCAAGATACCCTGGATGTTCCTGTGTCAACCAGAATCATTTCCCGTTGATTGGTTGTACGTGGCCTGCACTCACGGCGTCCATTAAGAAGACTGTCGTTGACCCCACAGCATAGACGCCAATGTTTAGAATGGTGCCGGACTGGAGCGATGTGGATAACAGAATGGCAAAACATTGTGTTCTCAGATGAGTCACGCTTTTGTTTATCCAGTGACAGTTGCCGCATACGTGTGTGACGTCGACGTGGAGACAGATATAATCCGGCAGTAACTGTGGAACGCCTCACCGTACGACAACGTGGCATAATGGTTTGGGGCGCTATTGTCTACGATTCCTTGTCACCTCTAGTTCGTATTCAGGGCACTATGACGGCCCATCGATACTTGGATAATGTACTGCGGCTGGTGGCAATCTTCTACCTTCAGGGGCTGCCTAATGCAATTTTTCAGCAGATAATGCGCTACCACACAGTGCTCACATCTGCCAACATGCTCTGCAAGGTATACAGATGCTTCCCTAGCCATCATACTCTCCTGACCTGTCACCAATCGAATATGTGTGGAATGTGATTGGACGCCGTTTGCAGGCTCTGTCCCTGCCTTGTTCAGAAGACGAATTGGGAAAAATGGTTGAAAGGGAATGAAGAGCCATTCCTCAGGACACCATCCGCACTCTTATTGACTCTATGCCTAGATGTGTTTCTTCGTGCATCGCTGTCCGCGGTGGTCCTACATCCTACTGAGCAGACACCGTTCTCGCTCTGTATTCTGACTATCAATTTGAAAGAAAAAATCACTTATTGCTGCTTGCTGTCTCTGTCTTTTTTCCAAATTTCATCATTTTCTGATCACTCCTTCTTGATGTTGCATTTTCAATGTCGAGCTGTGTATTTTAACACACATATACGCACATACATAGTACATTTCTGAATCCGGTCCTGATAACAGAAGAGTACCCAAAAAGCATACGCCAACAAGGTGATATTTCATGAATTTTTCAAACAATAGAGAAAAAGGATTTCAGAAATTAAATCAGCCTTTCAACTTCCAATAACACAAGAAACAAACTGTTGTATTTTTAATTATTTCTTTTTATTGTTATCGAGGCTAATCACATAAGTTTTCCCTCCCCCGTGCAATAGGATATTTTGCTGTTCCATTTGTCAATTTATTGTGCAGAATTTGTATAGTTTTAAATCAGTTCTGAGACTATGTGTTAATGCATATGTTGCATTGTCAGTAGAGCCAGTTTCTGCTCTTATATATGTTCTAGTGATTAGGAAACTGAACTGATATAATTATTTAAAGTAAAATCTGGTGTAATTGTGACTGGCAGCCATCTAATTAGGAAATATAATATTAACTTTATTAATAACACTCGAAGTACCAAATTCTGAATAAATTAATGTATTTTTATTGGCCGAAATGAACTAACTATATAATATCAATAAATCGTTTCTTTCTGAAGAATATGCCATGGGCAGAAATTATTCTGTTTATTTCTCATTCAAGGCAAAATCAGCATTTGGTAAAACATAGTATAATAAGAAATGTGAATATATTAGCTAATTATTTAGAAATGTGAATAATTTAGCCTTTAAAAAGTATTTTAAATTTTGTATCTGTAGTCTTATCATAAAAGAAATATAACAAAACGCAAATAACATGGAATTTTCCTCAGAGATATTCATACAATATCGTGCGATATGATCAGTAGTTATCCTTTAAACTACTAAAAATATTAGAATACAGTGGTATGCAAAAAGAAAGCTCACCGCAAATTCACTACAATCAACAACATCTCACTAAACAACTAAGCTGAGATGTTTCTCTCCGGCTTTTTAAAGTTTTCAATCGGTCCGAGAGAGTTCTTTGTAATTTCTGCTTCTAGAGATTTCTGGAAAGTAAAAGAGTAGAATTATGGTTATAGCTAACACGGTATTCAATATAAATTACGAGATATCTATTTATTAAATTTTAAATGTGCGTGCTCCTGTATTTTTAATTTTCCAGTGTAGCTTTCTCTTAAAATATGTCTCGTGCTGCATTGCATGGGGATATAAAACAATTTTAATTTTAATTCTACTAAAAATAGCTAACTAAATACAAAATCCATAACTCTGCCCTCTTTCCAAGGACTGTACGTCCCAGGGAGTACAATCCCTGGACAGGAAGCCAAACTTACGATTAAGACATTAATGCAATAATAAACATTACATTACAATGACAAACAACATAAAAAGTAATTACAATAAGTAACTTAAAACAAATCAAATACTAAAATAAATGACTGCACAAATTTACAAATTTAGAAACAAAAAAGACCATAATCTTATAGTATTTACATTATATACACTATGTACTAGTAAAAAGCTAACCTGTCGTAATGAATGACTTTAGGCTTAGAGTTTGATGACTTGCAGATACGAACTACGACATCTTTCTGCCTGTTTAGGATTGTGTATGGACCATCTCAAGGTGACTGTTGATTAGGACAGATTTCTTTCTGTTGAATCGGATTCTACAAACACACCTTGTCTACTTCATTGAATCGATGCCCTGTAGCTTTCGTGTCATATTGGGTCTTCATCTTCTTCGTAACCAAGTTTACTTGCCTCGTGCAAAATTGTGCATCACTTAAAACCATGTCTGGGGTTCTTGGATGTATTCCTCAAACGATGAAAGCGCACCCAGAGTATGACCAAACAAGAGGTCACAAGGCAGAGGAAGGTCATGACCGAAGAGCATCTGAGATGGGGAATAGCCTGTAGTCTCATGAACAGCACTGCAGTAAGCCAGTAAAAACAGTGGTAACTTCTTGTCTCAAACCGCCAATGAAAGCTTATTAAGGATGGTTTGATTAAACCTCTCTACCATGCCTTCTGACTGGGGATGCAATACCGTCATTTGGGTTTTGTCAATGGCAAATAGTTATTTGATTACAGCCAAGGTAAAATTCCTTCCCTGATCGGACTATAACTGAAGAGGCACTCTGAACCTGGAAATCCAGTGTTGTATCATTAACTCTGCTACTGTGACAGCCTCTTGATCAGAAATAGGATATGCTTTAGGCTACTTAGTGAAGTAATCAATGACAACAAGGATGTATTGTTGCCATCAGCAGTTCATGGCAGAGGTCCCGAGATGGTAAAGGTGATAAGTTCAGAAGGCATTCCTACGTTATAGTGTTGCAGCTTGCCTCGACTGAGTTTCTGTGGTCCTTTCTGACTTGCACAGGCATCGCAAGATTGGCACCACTTTTGCGCGCCATCCTTTGCATTACTCCAGTAGAAGTATTTGTGAACTTTTTGTTAAGTCTTCATTATTCCAAAATGGCCTCCTGTAGGGTTTTAAGGATGTCTGGATCTGAGATGCTGCCATTTCCATCATCTGATTCAAATTTCCGGTACAAAATGTTGTTTTGAATATGGAGTGAGTCCTAGAGAGCCCAATATTGTTTTGTCATCGGACTTTAGGTCAAAATATCGTACCAAGTAGGTTTTTCTGTTTGAGAACTCCATTGAATCAATTATGGGCTTAATGTTGCCATCCTCCATCTGGTCTTTCCTGACTTCTTTGTCACTCCATGGGTCTCAATCAGCCGATGTTTGATGTTGTAATTTGTCGCGCGACCTGACTCAGCAGCTCATGTTTCTCTTCAGCCCTGTACGATATCAGCTGTTTTCTGAGTGGGGTCTTCCAGACAAGTTGTGAGCATAACCAGGTGGGGATCCTTTCTGATGATGGATACTTATGTCCTCAGAAGCTGAATGCGGTTCGTTATTTTTAAAGTCCAAGGAAAAATTGTATTTCCTTAGAAAGCCCAATTCAATTATAAAAGAATCTGTAATCTCTGCTGCATATGTCGTATGATAGTAAGCAACACTTTCAAACGTGATGTTTACATTTAACTTCCCATGTATGTCGATTTTATTACCAGACGCAGTTTGCAGGGTAACGCAGGAGGCATCCAAATGTGTTCATCTTTAAACTGTTGAGCTAAAGCTTTCTGAATGAGGGTAACATTTGCTCGTGTATCGGTCATCATATTGCAAGGAACTCTGTTGATATGCCTCATGATGAAGAGTCCATTATTTCCACCATTCACTGCAGAAATCTAAAGCGCTTTGAAATGGGGCTTCTCATTATCCTTCAAATTCCTCTCTGCGATATGGCCATTAATTTTTTTTCTTGCGTTATGGCTGGGGAATGGTCTTTATTGTATGTGCCTTGGGGTGTTCTGCATTCCTCCGTCCATTGCCTTCAACACCACAGTTCTAGCCTTTTAGGCTTGGTTTCTTTTCATTCCTATTCCATCTAAAGGTACTAACTTGTCTGGTAAAATCATCTATTTTATTTTCTGTGCCCTGCGGTGTTCTGCAATTCCTTTGTATGTGGCCTTCAGTATCACATTTCCAACACTTCAGAGCCAGTTTGTTCTCACTCCTACTCCATATCAAAGCAATGACTTCTCCGGATAAATCATCTAAACGAGCCATGACTTGATCTTCTGGCCTGTGGACTTGAGCAGCTCTGATTGTACAGTGTTCTCTACAAGTTGCTTGCTGGATTGCCTCAAATTTCATGGCATACACTGAAGCGCTTTTGATATCTTTGACATCCGCCATTCGCAGAGCTTTCTGTATTTCAGTATCCTGTATGCTGTCGGTGAACTACTGCAGGGAGAGGATTTCTCTCGTTTCGCTCAGGCATTCCGAAAAGGCAAGGTTGGACAGCCTTTCAACATCCGTGGCAAACTCCTGGAGTGTTTCGGTGGGCTTCTGTTGATGAGATTTTAACTGAAGCCTGCTGTTGTCTTTTAAACATTTTCCTCCAAAGCGCAGCTCCGACACCCTGGATGAAACTTCGAAATCTAGCCTTTGGTTTTCCTGAAGAGTTTCAAGGATAGCCGCAGCATCTGCTCTCAGAGAAGCGGGGAGATGACAGGCTTTAGCTTAGGAATTCTATCTATTTGCATCTGTCACTATAGAAAATTGTGTCTTATACACTTTCCAAGAGGTCTTCCCATCATATGTGGATAACTTCAGGGAGGGACGAACAGGCATGGGTAAAAATTTAAAACCATCAGAATTGCTCCCTGACGTCTTTACGAATTTCTTTAAGGTATCAACTTCTTTGGCTACTGCAGAAACCCTGTCATCAATTTCCTTTTCCATTTGTTGTTGAATGGCAGAAACTCTTTTTTCAATTTCCCCAACTCTGTTTTCAACCGTGTCAGTTCTGCCTTCCATATCTTCAAATTTGTTTTCTATTATGCTGGTGATTTCTCTTTTCATTTCGTCTTGGTCCACCTTCATTTCTCCTTTAACAGCTTTCATCTCATCTTTTAGACTTTCATCTCTTCTTTAACTGATTCTTGACCAGCTTCCATCTTTGCTTGAAGGGCTTTCAACTCCTTTTTGAAGGATTATCGGCAAGCTTTCATCTCTTCTTAGCCCACTTAATTTCTTCTTTAACTGATTTTTGATGAGCTTTCATCTCTTCTGTAATGGAGTTGATGGCTGCTTCTATTTTTTCTTGGACTGCAGCAAATGCAGTTATCAACTGCCTTAATTGTTCTTCCATCGTTCTTTTTATTGGCATTCAGTCCCACTTCTGACACCAAAAAGTGTTGTGTGCATACGGATTTGTGATTGATTGAATGTACAAAACCGATAAAAGGTTAATAAAATTTAGCAAAAGAAATATAGCCAAACGCTGTAATTTTCCTCAGAGATATTTGTACAATATCACGCAATATAATTAGTAGTTATATTACTACTAAAATGTTAGAATATAACTTTAAACTACTAAAAATATTAGAATACAATGCAATGCAAAGAGAAAGCTCACTGCAAATTTGGTACAATCAACAACAACAGCTCCCTAAACAACTAAGCTGAGATGTTTCTCTCTGGATATTTAAAGCTTTCAATTGGTTGTGAGAGAGTTCTAGTAATTTCTGCTTCTCAAGATTTCTTTAAAGCAAAAGAGTGGAATTATGGTTATAGCTAACACAGTAGTCAATTACGTTTATTCAATTTAAATATAAATTACAAGATATCTTTTATTAAATTTTAAATGCACATGCTTCTGTATTTTTACTTTCCCGGCACAACTTTCTCTTAAAATATGGCTCTTGCTGCAATGCATGGGGATATAAAACAATTTTAATTATAATTCTACTAAAAATAGCTGACTAAGTACATAATCCATAACGATATCTTATCTCATAAGCTAACTTAGTTTTAGTGCCAGAAAAAATGTCAAAAGTTGAAACAGAAAACTGTAAAATTTTATGATTGGTACCCTTCAATAGTGATAAGTATCTAGTGAGCAATTTAGAAATTTTAGCTATAATTGTGGATATACCTTTTCTATACTTTTTATTTATTCTTCTGCTTAAAACAATTACGATCTCACATAATTATCTTCAGCAAAAATAAGTGAAAATTCATGTTATTTGCCAAAAGTACTGGACCCTATACCTTTGTGTTGCATACAAATTACTGTAAATTCTGCCATTAGAAATTCTTTTAGCTGAAAAAAAAATTACATAAGTTTAAAAAAAAATACTTTAAAGAGCAGTTTTATTTATCAAAACTAGTAAAGTCGTTTTTTTACAGAAAAACTTTACATTTGATTAGAGGTTCATTCTCTTTAAAACCGATATCTGTCTAAGGTTGAATTTTTATGTACTCTTCTGTTATCAGGGCCAGATTCAGAAATATATGTGAGTCCACATACATTCATATGCACATGCATACGTGAACACATCCATCCATCCATACATACATATATTTCTGAATCCAGTCCTGATAACAGAAGAGTACAATTTTTGCTCTATGTAAAGGTTCAAACTACTATACTTTTCATCTGTTATATTAAAATAAATTTAATTAATTTTTATTTTTATAAATAAAGTGAATCATGCAAGTTTTCATATTTAAGAAATCCATTTAATCAATGAAAGAAAAATTGGAGGAATATACATTTATATGATCAAAGGTCAAAGAAATTTGAATTATAATGCTTTTAAGAATGAAATTTTCTTTTCCTTAATTACTGTGTATATTGATATATATCATGTATTTAATTACTCTCTCTTCTCTGTATATATATTTCTGAAAAAAAAAAAGAGTCACTACTATGAAAGCTTTTGATGAATAACCATTGCCCATATTCTAAATAAAGTAACATGAAAGGAGGAAAAATTTTATGTCAAAAAAGAATATTAAATTATTATTATTGCTTTTTTTTATCTGAATAGATAAGTTTCATTTTTTAACTAACATAATTTGCATGATTTTTATTTTTGTAAAATGCTGCTGAAAGCTGATTACAGATTGTAAATTCTTTATATGTAGGATGTAATTTTTTTACAAATATGGTGTATTTGATTGATAGCATTTTTTTTTTTTTTTCAAAAATTGGCACATGAACGTTTTGAATTTTAAATATAGAAAACTGTTTATGTTACTTCTCTTGAAATAAAATAAATATTTAATTGCTAAAATCTTGCAGAGGCTATGGCAGCACCCGATAGTCATGAACAAGGGCGGCTGGTTTACAGGTATGGTGGATCTACGGTTGGAGCTTTTGTACATCCTGTTACACGACCTCTTACTAAAAACATTGCTCATGCTGTTTTTATGGATATAACACATGATAATCAATGTCCAATGCAGGTAACTTAGCTTTTTAATGTAAGCTTCATTTAACTGAAATTTCTGTATAACATGATTATCAGTACCCTCTCTAATGTCATTTAATTGTTAATTTAGTTTGCTTTAATTTGGAATATTTTCTTTATATGACTATCAGTGTTCTTGAATAATAAAATATTTACTCATGTATACATCTCTTCTACTAATAAACTTTTCCCTCCTGAAATATGCGTCATCTGATAAATGAATTCTCGTGTAATTATAACTGCCATATATAATGTTGAGCAAGATTCTAATTGATCTAAGCAGGGTTGCCACGCTACTTGGAAAACCAGAAAAGTCGGGGAATTTGAAAATTGACCAAAAAATTCAGAGAATTTAAATATTGTAGTCAAAATCTGGAAAAGTCGGGGAATTTCATACAGCTATTTTCCCAAAAAAAGCGAGTTTTGCGCCGACGTTGGAAGCGATCACTTTCTTGGCGAATTATCGCGTGAGCATCATTCGGCCAGCTGGCATAGAGCCAATTTTCACAGCTCCAATCAGATTGTCTTGTAAAAAGGCAAAGCAAGTTTCCAGCAACTTTTGGTTTCCATTAACCTCGAGTATGGAGAGCAGTGCTGTAGAAGTAACAAGAAATTGTGTATAGTTCGACTGCCTCATGAGCGCAAACAAGCACACGCCATTTGGACCGAATTATTTTCAAAATAGGTTAGCAACTGAAATATAAAATACTTATAAGTAAAATTTAATAAAAATGTAAAGACAAATAAAAATTTAAATAATTCTTAAATTTATGATGAATAGTTAAATAATAAAATAAAATACCAGAGCTCATCTTATTGGGTTAGTACCGTTTTGTCCTTTGTCATTTCATCTCCAGCTCAAAAAAGTGTCGTTTCATCCGCTGCCTTTCCCTACCAATTCCCTCTTTCCCATTTCATCCGCTGTTCGAAAAATAGGTGTTTACTTTACGATAAGACGAATGTCTAAAATGGTTTAGAGGAGATGACTGTTTCTACTTCGACTTAGCTAGATTTCTAATACTATTTAATATTTTGTGCAGACAAATTATGCTGAGCAGAATAATCAATTTCGGACATGTTTAAAAGGTCTGTATCTGAATATAATAACATTTTTGTTATATAGTATCCATGTTTTTAAATTTCACACATTTCTTAAACAGCAGAACCACGGTATCATTATTTTGATACACACACCCAAAACATGTATAATTAAGATTAATGTTACATTTTTATTAAAAGTAATGGGTTCTCTTTAAATGCAACCATTCATGCTTTTAGAGGATTTCACATGTGGTGGTCTTAAAAAGGTGATGTTCACTACTAATTCTCTAAAAGCATAGATGGTCACATTTAAAGAGGGCTGACTACTTCTAATAAAGCATGCATATTAATGTTTATTATACATATGTTATATTTTTACTTTCTTTCAAAACAGCGATACTGTGGTTCTATTGCTTTAGAAATATGTGAAATTAATAAAATGGGCCCTATATTACAAAAACCTAATTATATTCAGATACACACCTTTTGAACATGTTTGAAATCCATTATTGTAATCAGAATACTTTGTCTACAGAAAATATTTAATCAATATTAGAAATCAAAAGCTAAGTGAGATTAAAGTAGTAAGAGTCATATTGTCTAACCCATTTTGATTGAAGTAAACAGGTGCTTGCTTTATCGTAAAGTGAACACCTGTTTTTCGAACAGCAAATGAAATGAAAAAGAGCCCACCAGCGCTCGAGTGGTAAAGTTGCTGAACACTAATAGTTCAGTCCGGGGTTCGAATCCTGGCTAACAGGGTGGCTGCACAGGTGTCTTCGTGGTTTTCCCCATGTGTACCTTGCATGTTAGCCAGTTTCCTATAAAAAGTCCTCCACAAAGGCATCCCTATCCCTCCCCTTAATCAATAGCCCTAATGTGCTTTGCCGTAACTGAATAAACCAAAACAAAAAAGAGGGAATTGGGGGGGAGGCAGCAACAAAAGAGGCAGCACTCTTCTGCAGGTGACAGGCGATGGGAGAAAAATTAGACGAAATGCTGTTTTAGAAGAATGGACTACATAACCAAATTTCTATCCATACACTGCTAAACAGTACATTATTTGCTCATCCAGGGCCTAAATTTAGCTAATGCTTGGCTTAATTCTTAAGAAATTGCAATTTTAGCCACAGTCCCCAAACAAGACAATGTCTGGTTATAACCAAAACTAACATAATTAAAAGACTCACTTGGCCTTTTTAAGTAGCTTTAATTAACAAAACACAAATAAGATAAAACATTACAATTAAGGGCATTATAATTATACATTTAAGTTACTAAGTAAATCTCGGGAAAACAGCATGCTTAGTTCATGACTCCCGCACATCGACTGAAGGCTAGAGTCTTTTTATTTGGTTGGTGTTTATTCTGGCGGCCGCTAGGTGGCGCTCGTTAAGCCGTGGGGTTACAGACTCTCCCTCTGGCTCGTACGACATCTCGGCGAAGAGCCAGAACTATGTTGGTTTGGTCTGCCTCATCTCCTATACTCTATCACCTGGTTCGTAAGACTTCAATGACCATAATATATTTTTGTGCTTTTAATACTCTTCAAAAATCACTGAATCAGGAAGATTCATTCAGAACTTCATAGAATCAAGATGATGCCCTCTATACTTCATTGAATTGGGTCAAACTTCATTAAATCTTGGTGATTCATCAACAGCTAGAATCGGGTTGATTCTCTTCAAACTTCATTGAATCAGGATGATTCATTCAAACATTTCTGAATTGGGATGATTCATTTCAAACTTCATTGAATCAGGATGATTCATCACACAACACAGAATCAGAATGATTCTCTTCATACTTTATGGAATCGGGATGATTCTTCTCAAAACTCAAGAATAGAATCAAGATGATTCATTTCATACTTCATGGAATCGGGATGATCCACTCTAAACTTACTGAATCAGGATGATTCACTTCAAACTTCATTGAATCAGGATGATTCATCTCGCAGCATAGAATCAGGATGATTCTCTTCATACTTCATGGAATTGGAAGGATTCACTCTAAACTTTACAGAATCGGGATGACTCTCTTCAAACTTCATTAAATCGGGATGATTCATCACACAACACAGAATCAGGATGATTCTCTTCATACTTCATGGAATCAGGATGATTCACTCAAACCTCCATAGAATCAGGATGATTCTCTTTCTTTAAACTTTTACTAAATCAAGATGATTCATTCAACAGCACTGAATCAGGATGATTCTCTTTAAACCTTCACTGAATCGGGATGATTCATTCAGCAATACAGAATCAGGATGATTCATTCAGTAGCACAGAATCAGGATGATTCTCTTCAAACCTTCACTACATGGAGTTGGATCTCCCCCTGGTTCAAAGCAGTTCTCTTGAATTTTTGCAATAAGCGATTTAGTGGAGCGCGGCGTTGTAGGCAGATGTTTACATCATCACTTCGAAGATTCACTAAAGTGGATGTTTCAAAACTTTAGCTTAATTAGAAATTTATAGAATTATTGTCTACATGTGTAATTAGCTATTTGAGTTGAATCACTTTCAAAATTATCTGAGACGGGCAGACCCAGACTGTAACTAACACTTGCAGATCCCTTTTTTCTGATTAGTCCCAAAAATGCATGTTATTGTGCATTCAATGTCTGTTGGAAAGTTCAATATTTGTTTGAAGAAAAATTATATGTTCAGAAATTTTATGAATTTCTTAATTACCCCTAACAATTACATAATATTTGAAAAACAACATCGAACAAAATCATTCATCTGAGATTACTTTGAAAACGAAACTAACATTTTTCAAAGATTGGTACACTTGCCAATGGACAGTAAAATACACAAATTTAGTAAACATAAAATCCCCAAAACAGAATTTAATTTTGATAAATCTTCTATTAGTAATGTTTGTAATGTCTGCAAAATCCTAAATGCTTTAAGAAATTAATTTTCGACTATAGTTCTTTTTGAAAAACACAATTAGATATATAAGTTGTTCTCAATTATTACAAAATAATAATTTAAAAATTTTTATAAATTCATAATTCGAAAATGTAGCAAATATTAGAATGCCTTTTCAGAATAACGGCAAGTAAAGCATTAATTCAAAAGAAGTATCCTTATTGCATAAAAACAAAACATTAGTGGCACAGTTTAAATAATAGTATACTAGATAATACCTTTTTCAATTTCAAATCATTTCTATTCTCAAAGAGGATAAGAAAATATCCGTTTATATTTTTAATAAAATAAAACAAAACACACAACTCATTCATTGATAGCAATACAGTTATAAAAATACTACAAGAATTAGGCACACCGGAAACATTTATCAATCAGAATAAAAATAATATTTTGTTATGTAAACACTTTTCATTCAGAACATAGAATTAAAACACAGGAAATTCAAATAAAAATCAATTATTTAAATAATGTAAGACAATATAAATTCTTAAAGTGCAATATATCTAAAAGGAAATACCTAGACCTTATATATACTTTATATAAGATTCTGTTTCGTTTTCAACGACACATTTTATTTCATATTATTAAAGTGTTAATGACATTATAGTTAGAATTGTGTATTGTTTTAAGTGAAATTGTATATCTCTTTATTAAGTTAAACACTTATTAAGTGAAAATCTTATTTGTTATCTTCGGGTGAAGATGAAACCATGCAATTTCCAAAATAACCTTCTTGTGAAGATAAAACCGCTACTTTATGCAATTTCCAAAATAATCTTAGGGTGAGGACTCTGCTGGTGGAAGTAGTACCTAAAACCTGGAAAAGAATATGAGTCAATGTCTTGGAGTCATAAACTAAACATGTTTTTTTCTCAACTGGGCATTTGAGCCGCACGTTGGGTAGCCAACTATAACCAAAACTAGCATAAATAAAAGACTAACTTGGCCTTTTTAAAAAGTTTTAATTAACAAAACACAAATAAGATAAAGCATTACAATTAAGGGCATTATAATTACACATTTAAGTTACAAAGTAAATCTCGAGGGGAAAAACATCTCGGGAAAACATCATACTTATTCATATCCGGATTTCTTTAGTAAATAATTATATTTTCTTACTTGAGTATCGCAGATTAAAAAACTGTTCGACTATGAATTTAGATCTTCACATTTTATATATATATATAATTTCTTTTAGTATTACCAATTGCAATAAAAAAGGGAGGTGCACATTACAGGTTATAGCGGTCCCATATACAAAATTTCAACGTTCTACAACTAATCGTTTTTGAGTTATGCAAAATGCATACATATGTACTTACACATCATGAAAAAATCCCTTTTTAGTATAAATTCCTTTTTAGTCATAATCATTATTCATAAGTATCAGCTTAGAGTAAATGGGATTACATTTAACATTTTGTTTGTGGGGGAAAAAAGAGGGGAGTCATTCATTGTGTTTGTACGTACAGACGTCACCCAAAAAAATAATTCACATGGATTTCGTAATCGTCAAAAATGGATATTTTCCGTTGAAATATGATACCCAAAATTTTTCGCAATTACAATACTTACTTTCTTTTTACTTCGTACAAGGAAGTAAAAAAACCTATATTAACCTACATATTCTTATATAAACATTTCCTAAGTGCAATATTTCAAATTAATAAAATCTCATTATGGCACGCTAAAAAAAAATAACCATCTAAATTTTCAAATTACAAACATAACATGCTCTATAAATCTTAATGTAAAAACTTCACGTTATCAAAATTGCTCATCTTCTTAAACATCAACAAAATAATATTTCAACTAAATCACATAATGTAAACAAGAGTTTGCTTTTTTTGTAAAAGTAGTACATAGTACTTCAAACAGGGTAAAAGTAGGTACGTAGATGATACTTTTACCCTGTTTGAAGGTAATAAAGATGATTTAAATAAAGTTCTTTCAACAATGAATTCTATTGATCCTTCCATTCAGTTCACTTTTGAACTTGGTACATTCAATTCTCTTCCGTTCCTCGACATTCTGGTCACATGTAACACATTCAACTTCAGTACTACGGTTTACTGTAAATCTTCATCGGTTTGCCTCCCACCCCACTTCAAATCATGTCATCCGACTAAACAAAAGTTAGCTTCATTTTATTCCTATGTTTTCCGTGCTCTTCAAGTTTGCTCCTCCAAACTATCCCTTAATGAAGAACTAAATTATTTAAAGGCAATAGCTATTGACAGAGGCTTTTCACCCAACATTATTAATCAAGCAGTTAAAAAATTCTCATGTTAACACACTAAAAGGCACACTCTTGTTTTAGGAGATTATAAAAATTCTGTTGTCATTTCCTTCTTTCCATCAATTAGCTATAAAGTTGCACATATTTTGCAGAAACTTAACTTTCGGATTGTTTATTCTCTCATCAATAAAATTCCGAGTTCCATACTCAAGGACCTAATTCCAGATATAAATTCCTAAGGTATTTATAGGATTCCTTGCCAGTGTGGTTTAATTTACATTGGCCAAACTAAGAGAGCCTTAAAATTTTACGTCAAGGAACATGAGGCATATGTTAGAAAAAAGGAAACACAGAAATCTTCTGTTGCTCAACATTGTTGGTCTGAAAATCACACTTTCAATTTTTCTGCTGCCAAAATTATTCAAAAAACATCTTCCATTTGAGAACTGGATTTTCTAGAGGCATTTCACATTCAAAAAAATCTTTCTGTTCTTGTTAACGATCCTAATTCCAATCCATCTTTGCCTTCGGCCTTTTAAAGAAATTATGTTTTAGTTCTGGTTTCATCAACAGATGGCGCCACTTGCTTATTCTTGTCCAGGCTTTGTTATCTTATCTAATCATTATTTCCTATCTTGTTCATTTGCGGTTTTGCAGCTGAGGATTTTGGTTCAGTAAACCCATCGAAACTAGTCCTGTGAAAATTTTTGAAAATATAATGCTGATTTTTGTTGTTTCACTTCTGAATTAGTATTTGTTCTATTGTGTCTTAAAATGTTAGTCATTTAGCGAAAACAGGAGGCACCATGATTAGGCGACTAACACCACCTCCCAAGCAATTTCTTCGGTCATTTTTTCTAACATTGGGTCTGTTCTAAATTGTCATTTTGTGATACATTTTGTAATAAATAATGGTTGCAGTGTTACCCTGCAGTGGATCCTAAGTCATTTTGAAATCACAGGTATAGAGTTTGACACTCAAGCCAAGGCTGGATCTGTTCTTCCTCAAACCATTCCTCCTGTTTACTATTACAGTGTTAAGAGAATCATTGGAGCCAGATGGCTCATCTTTGAGAGAAGAATGGGAACTCTGTGAAGGGGGAGATTTGGGATTCCCTAATGGGGAATTTCATTCCTTGCAACCTGCTTGGAACTGTCAATAGCTTTAGATTAAAAACTAGACATGACTACCTCATGAAACATCTACACAGATTTGGTTTAGAAGACTCTCCAATTTGCCTATTATGTGATATTGATGACATGTGCTGTGACCATTTGGACATTTGTTCTGTATTTAATTATGTGGCAATGGCTGATGCTGTCAAAAATTATTGTACTGTTTTTAATGTTTCTGAATTATATTGGACTGCCCAACTCAAACTGCTGGCAGTCATGCTTAGGTCTGGCTTGAGATTAAAAAAAGTATTAAGAGAAGACTCGAGTTTTGAAATGGTTAAAGTTTTTTTATATGTCTTTAAATTCAGAAGAGGAAACAAGCTATAAAAAAATAATTTCAGCAGTGGTTTTGATTGTTATAAAACTGTTAAACATCCTCCAGCTCCTAACTGATTCAATTTTATAGTTTCTGCAGGGATGAAAAGGCAATCAATCTGTTAAAAAATATACCATATAGCTCCCTTTTTGGAAAATTAATCTCAAGCTATCTGCAGTTGCATTGAAAATTAATACTATTTGTCAAAGAAACTGCAGAGAGAATCCTACTTATTGGTGTTCTGGTATACTTTATTGTGGGTTATAAAATTTATTATGGGAGCATGTAAAGGAAGAGTGATGACGAGTATGTAATGGAAAAGTGAAAATTGGGATATTTGCCAAAGTTAAGCTCACACTGAACATAAATAAATTTCTATATGAAATAATATTTTCAATTCTATTTAAAAATGAAATATTGAAATATATCATTTTTGAAAGTTTGGTGAAATAATAAAATTTGCATTCCATATATTGCAATTAATTGTTAAGGGTTATTAATGCCATTTTGAAATTTATTAAATTTATGACATTACTCTATTTTAGAATTGTTTTGCAGGTGCGTTCTGTTTATGATTATTTTCCTACTGCAGCAATGGTTTCCATGGCATGTTGTGCCACAGGCAGTACTTGGGGTTATGACCAGCTGGTGCCACATCATGTATGTTTTATTTAATTCTAAACTACTTTGTATGATAAAAAGAATGCATTTATTAAAATCTTATGTTTAATATTATTAATATGTGAATAAGCTTCCATGCTGTGTTAAGTGACAAAATTTATGAAACTGCAGTGGTTTATTTCTTATTTGCTCCATGGTGACCAAACAAATTGACTGCAGGGGATTTGCATTATTTTCCTCGCGTAACACAGTTTTTAGCCAGTTTGGATAAATTAGTTTTTTTGCTAAAATGAGAATCCATCCCTCCTTTGCCATAATTAATCTATTTAAGCTATAGTCTGTCATCTTTTTAGTATTTCATAAAGGTTGGTTGAACAAACCTTTATGAAACAAACACAGAAGTTCTAAAATTAAAAAATGCATATATTTATTTATTTCACTATTTCTTCCTATATAAAAAGCAAAGCATTTCCCTCCCCCCAAATTCTTGAAGATTATCATTTGTAATTTTTTCTTTGTTTGTGAGAAAAGGAGATAATGAAATTCTTTCCTTTTTTATTTCCTTATTTATTTATTATTTATTATTTTTTTTTTTTTTTTTTTTTTTTTTTTTATGTAGCAGAAAATTCAGTTTATTCATTGCTTTTAAGGAGAACTTGCAATTTTTTAAGATAAAAAGTGAAATATTAAAGCAAATCAGTTGAAAAATTTTGACTTTCTTATATCCAAAATTAAAGTTTTTTTTTACTTTTTTGGGGTACTTAAAATCAAACTAAATTTTAATATTCTTCCAATGAAAATGTTTAACCAAAAGGGGCATTAGACTCAAAGGGCTATTACTCTCCAAATTACATTTTGCATTGGTTCACTTTTCAAACTGTTGCCACCAAATATTATTGCCATGTATTATATTTAAAGAAGCTAAATAATGAAGAATCTGCATGAATGTTTCTTGCATTGTGAAAAAAAAATAACAGTACCTAGAGTCATCAAATTTTGAATAACGTAGTCCCTCCAACCAAACATGGGCACTTGGAAGCTTGAATTTTGAATTTGTTGTATTATCGATTTCAAATTTTGTAAAACTTTTAACAAATTCTTGATTAACAAACTCAACAATTTCAAAGAGAGCAATGGCAACACTGTCCAGAAAAATACATTTTATCGCTAGCATGCGAGACTGTATCGGAAATTCTAAAGATATGCTGTTTCTAAATATCTGTGATATTGCTCTTGAATTGAATTTTATGTGGCTTAAGTCTGAAGAACATGATATTTAATAAGTAAAGGTAACACACAAAATGTTAAAAAAAGGCCCTTTTGGGCATAATGTAAAATCTGAAAGCTTTCAGATTATCTTTTTCTTTTCTTTTTACTCATATCTAAATTAGGTACGAGTATGATTAGTTAATTAAGCTGAAGCATGGAAGAGCATTCTACCTTATGTGTATGTTTATGTCTGTGCCAGGGTTCATATGGCACTTAAAAGTCCTTTAGAATCCATTTTTGGTCCTTAAAAGTCTTTAATTGTGTAATTTTGACCAAATTTGGCAGGAGGTCCTTAATTGTAATCATTCTAAAATTTCTGTCTGTTTTTGCGACTGGCATTTTGAATGTGAATTAGCAATTTGGAAAACTATTTTTTGCCATTCATTGACAAATCTTTTGAATGGGTGAATAGATTCATGCATTATAATTTGTTTCTATTTATAATATTAATGGTGGAATTCATTCTCAGGTTTCTGAGAAGTGAAACATAAGCATTTCGAAATTATGTCATTTTTTCTAATGAAGAGCTCTTAAACAACTTTTTGCTTTTGGGAATGTGAATTTTTTATTAAACGGTTCCAAATTTGACGATTTTAAGATCAGTTTCTATAGAAAATTTTTAATTTGGAAATCGAGGAATTTTTTGATGATATTTTTTAAAAAACATTATAACATTCATCAATTTCATTAAAATAATGCTAATATATTAAAACTGTATTAAAGAAATAACATTAAAATGAAACATTTATATTTTTCGCTGTCAAATTATTAAGTGACATTACTTTCCATTTTGGTGATTTATAATACAATATTTTGAATCTGGAAAATAAAAATGGTAATAAATGCTTAAATTGTGATAATTTACAAACAATTCTTAGAAAAAGCAAAGTAACTATGTAATTAATTAAAAATCCGTTCATTTTAATTTTTTGATGGTTAGTGTTTTTCTCATGTCTCAATATGTATCAGTTTTCTGTATAAAATTAATTTTGCACGTTTTTCCTACATTTTTTTCAACATATTTCTGGCTTTTTGCTGTTACAGAATTGGTAGGGGTCATTTTTCTTTAGAATTTTAGACATTGCAACTTGGAAAGTTTCAAAGGATTTGAAGGCAAGATGTATAGATCCACGAATCCAGAAGATTCCAGAAAAATGTCTTCATGGTATTAACAAATAATGGATGTATTTTACAGAAAGTTTGTGATAAACTTTCTGAGAATTTTTATATTTTATTTTATTTTATTTTATTTTGAGAATTTTTGGAAAAACAATGAAAACATAATATTTGAATGTTTTACTTCTGATAGTAGACATCTTTTCTAAACATGTTTATCTTCTCTTTGTTTTCTGTACTTTCCACTAAACACAAGTACAGAAAATATCAAAAATGCTTCTAATCTTATCACATGGACAGGCATTTATAGAAAGGAATTTTACAATTAATAAAGAAATTGTAAACTGACAATTTAAAAGATTCATCTTATATGTCTCAATGCATCATACACAGGGCTGGCGCTACTCTTTACCACCTGATGCAGTTCCTGTGGATCCTAAATTCTGCTGCCTAATGCCTTCCTAAATTTTAAAATTTTGCCATTTCTAGATTTTGTTGCACAATGTATGACTAAATTTTAAAACTTCTGCTAATCCAGCTCTATAACCAGCCCTTACCATATATCATTTTATATTTATTCTAAATGCAGGGTTGCCACGCTACCTGGAAAACCGGAAAAAGTCAGGGAATTCGGAAATTGACCAAAAAATTCAGGGAAAAGTCAGGGAATTTAAGTGTTTTAGTCAAAATCTGGAAAAGTCAGGGAATTTCATACAACGATCCCGTTAAAAAAGGCGAGTTTTGCGCCGACGTCGGAAGAGATCACTTTTTTGTGTATCACGCGAATTGTGTATCATGTGAGTGTCATTCGGGCAGCTGGCATAGAGCCAATTTTCGCAACTCCAATTTGATTGTCTTTTTAGAAAGGCAAAGCAAGTTTCCCGCAACTTTTGGTTTCCAGTAACCTCGAGAATCGCATGTGCAGTGCATGAACTAAAGAAAGTACCTGTTCTCGTATAAAACAAAATAGGTATAATCCTAGTATACGGTACCGTGAAGGTTAGAATTACAAAAATATGTATTATAAAGAAGGAAAACCTCTCTGCAACAGACGTGGCTCGGTTCCATCATAGCGGGAAACAGCTGTGCATGCGCGATATATCTGTCGCCAAAGCTCGAAACCGGTGTCGAAGTTCGAAGGTCACGTTATCAAGAGTTCATAAAATGAATATCATTTAAAATATCTTTAAACTCTAAAGGAAAAGAAAATATTTTTTGGTGCAAGTAAATTAATTCATGGATTAGTTATTTTGAGGGGGAAAAAAGTTCTTTGATAAAACGTTTCTTCTTGGATTTTTCGCAATAATTTAAAAACGGATTTTCGCAGTTTTCTTTTTTGTCAAAGAAGGTTTCTTCTTAACACGTGTTTCTCAATTTCCTGTACACATCGCGGAGAGGGAAATTCTGGCCGTTCCGTCGTCAAATCCCTTAGCAAATTTTCCCTCCGCTTTTTACATAGACGTTCTTTTGGTGAGAATAATCTCCATGTATGGTACAGTGGGATTTGGCGACATGATGATGAGCAGTAAATGGGTCATTTTGTTCTTGGCGACAATTTTCAAAATCATGCGAAGGCCGTATCGTATACTAGGATTTTACCGCAAAATCTTTTTTTCTTTTCTTTTCTTTTAAATAAATACCTTGTCATTTTGCAGTAAAATAAAAAAATAGTAATCAATCATCTAGGATAACCATGTAATATAAAACTATATTCGCTAAAATATCATTGATTATTCTAATTAAATTTTTAAGTAATTATCTTTATTTTTATGTTATTCATATCATTTAATGTTGCTTCTTCCCTCTAAATTTATTTATCATTAGTAAATAATATTTCCATATTTCAGGAAATTTTCTCTGGCATAATCCTGAAATTAATTCTGGCAGTTATGATGACATCACGAAATTTAATGCACATATTTTTTCCTTATGTATGCTGCGAAAATAAATATAAAATACCTCAATTTAGTAAAAAAAATATTCAAATAGATTTCTTTCTTTCGTTTAGCTGCAGAATGTCTGCAAAAAAAGCCTTATTTTATTCCAGATTGGGCAGATTCTAATCTCAATGTTCAGTGGAGAAAAACAATTCCTATTATAATTATATTTGTGTTTCAAGTGTTAAGGTGCCTTTTAAGAATACACTCACAACAAAAATTAAATTTACCTAAAAATCTACCCTAAACTTTTAGCATTGCGTTGTGATTTATAAGAACCGGATTAGCTCGTGTTGAAACTGGGATGATCATGAGTAATAATTAAATAAAACGTAACAGTTGTTATCCAATGTATATATCTTAAATTTATTAAGTTTTTTAAGCGGAAAAGTAAACAAAATTATCAAACAAAGTGTACCAAGAATAATTAAGAATAAATGTCCTCTGGGATTTATTGAATAATTAAGTGAATTTGATACACAGTACAAGTAATACCATAATTAATTTACCTCTTAGCACAGCCAATGTACATTACGCGGATAGACTGGAATTTTCTCGAAACATACCTGGAAAACCTGGAAAAGTCAGGGAATTTCATTCTCCTGTTTGAGTGGCAACCCTGTGAATGTTCATATTACTAAAGAAATCAAGTTAGCACCTTTTCCTATACATTCTAAATGCATTTAGTTTTTTAGAATAACAGAAATCTGTAATTAA